GAGTCCCACAACTGCTGCTCTGCTGTCCCACTGCCTCCTCCCCTGGCCCCTGACTTGGACTTCTCCTCCGCCCTCATCCTTCCAGGCTCCTCTTATGATACATGGAAAACTGTTTTCAAACAGCAGTTGGGGTCCCGCTGCCTGCCGCCACCCTCTAGGCAAAATTTCAGAGGCAAAGGTTTGGTGATAACGGAAAGGGGTCTTTATTCAAAAGTTTCCCAATTTTGGAGTAACAGCTTTCCCCATGGATTAGTCACTTAAGCCTCTAAATTAAGGCTAAACTCTTTAACTCTTTAGTTACAGCTTTAATCACTTAAACCGATCAATTAAGGCTAAACTCTGACACCTGAGTTCTCCTAGCATTCTTCCTGTTTTCAATTATCTTGTTTCTATAGGGTTAGTTTACAAACTAAAACAACATAAGATACAAAAGCTACACAATTTTGGAAGAATGGCAGGCTCAGCCCCTCACAGCTCATCCCCTCCAGTGCACCCAAAGAAGGATAACCCTGCCACCCTCTGCCAGGCCAGCCCGATCCTAGGCTGCGCCCGGAGCTCCCTTCCATCCAAAATACCATCCCTTGGGAAACACAGGCAGTTGCAACACAATCATCCAGGCATCCTCCGGGGAGAAAAGCTTGAGCCAGCACCAGCCCATTCGAGAGCCTGAGAGCCCGTCTTTTATTCCAAATCTTCTTGCCCATAATTCCATGTGCTCTGGAGACAGTCAGCTTCTCAGCCAATCCCATCCTAGACAGTTTACCGTTGCCTCCGCCTACAGCCCCTCCCTACTTCTCCCCAGTGATCTGATCACATCTCTCTGTATCAAAACCACCTTCTTTCTCTCAACACTTCCTCCACCCCAGATTTCCAGGAGGTGGTTTGTGAGGGGTCTCCCCTTGCCCCTCCCCACCCACCAGCCATCTGCACTATACTCATCGCACCCCCACTTCTCTGACCTCTCCAGAGAGAGCAAGGGCTTTGAAGCTAGGCAGAGTGGAGTGGATTTAACTCCACTAATTGTGACCTTGAGCAAGTTACTTAGCCTGGCTGTGCCTCAGTTCCCACATCGTAAAATGGGATCAGAGCGTTCTGGTGAGGCCTGTCAAAGCCAAATCTGGAAGGCACCCAAAGAAGACATGAATATTACTGATGAAGCTGTGTGTTGTATGGAGGAAGGCTTCAAGGGGGAGGTGACATTCGAGCTGGGTCTTTATGGATGGTCTGCTTTCTAGGCAGAGGGAACAGTAGCTGCACAGGGAGGCGAGCCACAGCACAGCATGTTTGGAGAAGGGTGAGAATTGCTGGCAAGTAGGCTCAAGGGAAGTAAGAGGAACTGTGGCTAAAGAGGAAGGCGGGAACCATCAGCCGTCGTTCAGGGCCATCCTGTGCTCTTCCCCCTGAAGCTGCCGGCTTCCTTTTTTTCAGGCCTCACCCCTGCTCCAGGGCAGCTGTCATCAAAGCCCGGGGGCTCTGCAGGCCCCCCCGCAGGCCTCAGCTGGGAGCGCCCTCACCTCTTTCCTGCCCAGCCCTCCTGCCTCGTCCAGAAGCCTCCCTTGGTCGTGCACGCTGAAAGGAAGTGTTCCTTCTCTGAAACTCAGTCACTGCCACTCTGTCCCCAGGACCGGGACTCTCCAGGTCACCGCTGACTCCTCCGTTGATCCTGATGTCCCCAAAGCACATGTCCCCCGTCAGCCTGTGGGGGCCTGTTTTTGGTTCAGAAAGTATGGTCTTTTGGTACAGTACTCAGAGTGATTGAGTACTGTCGTAGGCACATCTCTAACTTGTCCCTTTGGCTCCTGCTCACAGAGGAGGGGCCCGGGCAAGACTAGTTAATGAAGAAACAAATGTTACCTCCTCCCTTCGTCCATGAGCTTCTTAAAGACAGGGCCTGGCATACAGCAGGGGCTCAATAGATGGTAAGATGCTGAGTATATGCCTCTCACACATGCCCAGAATTGACCAGTTTATGCACACTTTCACCTCATGATTCAGTCGGGTAATCAGTAAACTGAGATCACTATTATTTAAGGTTCATGCAGCAGACACCGAGGCCAGAGGCAAAAAGTGAACTTGTCCATAACCACACAGCACAATAATGGGAGGTGAGGGCTCGAACCCAAGCCGCCTTCCCCCAACTATAATGAAATCATCATCATTATCCCGACTGTGGCTGCTTCTTGAGCAACTACACTGCGCCAGCTACTTTATAAGCACCATCTCTTCTAATCCTCAGATGACAAAACCGAGCTCCAAATCCCCAACTCTCTCCTGGGATTTGTTAGGGGAAACCGACTACAGCCTCTGTCCAGACCCGGGGAGCAGTGGCTAGGCCAGGCCTGAGGACACAGCATGCCGCCTGGGGCCACCTCCTACCTGTGCAATCAGCTCTCTCCCTGGAGCACGGGACAGTGGCCTGCTTGGCACTCCCTCCGCTGGCAGGCCCCTCTCTAGGTAGGTGCCCCGCCCCCGGGAGGGAGTAGCCCGCCTCTGGTCCATCCCTAGGCCCAAACCTCTGCCTCCTGCTCACCTCCAGGAAGCCTTCCCTCAGTGGACCCCTTCCGGAGAGCAAGGAGAGGCCGTGGAGACCACCCAGTCCCCTCCCTGCTCCCTTTCACAGATGGGGAAACCACAGCCCAGACAGCAGAAGACCCCGCCACCTGCCCCGGCAGGCCTCCTGGCTCCTAGCCCAGGGCTCTTTAGGCTCCACTCTGCCACCAAGACCACACTCAACACAAACAATGCTGGCTGCACCTTCCCACTGAGGGAAGCTGGCATTCAGGGCCTCGGCCTCGGGCTCGGGCTTTAAAACAGGAGACCTGCTGGCTCCACACGTTGGCCACAGCTACACCCAGTGCGGGGCTGGGGAGGTGCGCCTCCCAGGCTGGGAGAGGCAGGGGCCGTCTGTGCTCCTGCAGTTCGTGTGCAGGCTCTATTCCAGGTGCTTTCCAAATACCGGCTCTTACTTACAACGTCAACCAGATGAGAATGTCCTCATTTTTCAGGTGAGGAAGCTGAGGACGTAAGTAACATCAGCATTACCATTTTACAGAGAGGGAAATAGAAGCTCAGTGATGCTAAGGACCAAGCGGAGGTGAGAGAGCGTGGAGGAGGTGGGATTTGGACCTGGCCCGCTGACCCAGAGTCTGCCATCTTAACCTCCACCTTGTCCTGCTCCTCCTAAGTCCATGCCCTCCACCCTGCACCCCCTGAGGCCTGGACTCCACATTTCTTTTCTGAAGCCGCGAAGCCTTTTTGTGGAAAAGGCTCCAAGGACGTGTGCAGAGGCTTTGTGAGTGGAGCCCTGTGGGAAGGCATGCTGTTATTTAAATATCACAGATCTAAAGCATTAAAATGCCATTGTTATCAGTTCAACTCTGCCTGTGCTGTGCCTTCACAGAAAAGTCATGGTACTTCTCTGAACTGAGGATCCCTCTTCTGTAGGGAGGAAAACAATGCCCTTTATTCGTCTGTCATCCAATGCAGGCTGCCTTTGAGATGGTCCCTAGAGATCCTCACTTCCTGGGCCCTCTGCAATCCCCTCCCTTTGAGAGTGGGCTAGACCTACTGACTCGCCTCTACTGAACAGAATGTAGCAAAAATGATGGGATGTCTTCATGGCAAGGATTTGAGGGAGGCCTCTGGCCTCAGCCAGTGAGGTACTGAATCCTGTCAATTGCCAAGTGAGAGAGCCTGGAAGGAGAGCAAGCAAGCCTTCAGATGACGCCACCTCCCAGAGGCACCCAGCCAAACCATGCCTAGCTTCTTGACCCACAAACACCCTGAGATAATAAATGCTTATTGCTTTAAGCAGCTAAGTTTTGGAGGATATTTGTTATGTGGCAATAGGTAATTAATATACCTAGTATTTGTCTACTCAGTGCTAGGCACTATGCTGCACCTACATTCACTCAGGATACATTTAGTGAGTGCCCCTGTGTACCAGGCACTGTGCCAGGCATTGGGTTTTCAGTGGAAAGCCAGACAGACGTTGTTCTCACTCTCAGAGACCTTAAGGTTGAGTTGGGGAGACAGACTTGTAAACGCAGAGCGTGCGCAGTGCTATGGGAGCCCAGAGAGGCACCTGACGGAGCCTGGAGAAGTCCGTGGAGGGATGTCCAAGACTGTGAGAACCTTCCAGGCAAAAGTGAGCAGAAGGGGGCACCTAGGAAAGAGGCCGAGAGAATGGCAAGGTGGGTCATAAGGAGACCTGGCTTGGGGGGAACCAGGGGAGGCAACCATGGGAAAAGTCTGGCTGGAAGGGGAACATAGCAGAGGGAGGGCCGAGATCACACAAAGCCTCAAATGCCCGCCGCAGAGCCTTGGACTCTTCTGCCCAGCACCGGGGGGTCGCTGGGGGTTGTAAGCAGCCTAGGGACGTGGCCAGCAAGGCTGAGCAACATGGCGCTGGTAGCAGGGTGGTGCACGAGGCAGAAGGGTCAAACCAGAGGGCAGGAACCCAGGGGGATGATGGCGACTGCACTGGTCCAGGCAGGGAATGATGGAGGCTGGGCTGGCGGAGGCAGGCGGGAGAGGAGGGGACAGACCCTCAGAGACATGAGGAGGCAGAATGGATAGGATTTGAGGTCTGAATGGATGGAGATAGGGGGTGAGAAGGTAAGAATACCGCCCAAATTTCTGGCGGGATGTCGGGTTGTGCCTTTTACTTAGGTGGGTGTGCACAGACACATGGACGGTACTGCTGGGAGGGGCACAGTGAGAGGGATGAGTTGGCCAAGTGGAGTTTGTGGTGGTGTCAGAAGAAACACCCACGCAGGCCTCCCCACTTGGAAGAAGGTCCGCCCCTGGTTCCCCAGAGAAAAGCAACAGACTTTGTCCGGGATGGGACCAAAGGGGATGCTGGATAGGAGAGGCGCATTGGGAAGGTCCTCCGGACGCCAAAGGGCCAGGGTTTGGGGGGTCTTGGGGATGCGGGGGCATCCCTGTAGATGTTAGGGGCCACAACCTCAGCCCTCCCAGCCTGGGGCAGGGTCACCCACCTGCTGCCCGTAGCTCAGCGCCTTGTCATAGAGAGCGATGCCGGTCTCCAGCACCCGCGCGTGCTCCTCTGGGCTTGTGCGGCCCACGTCGAAGCCATGTGCATAGCCCTGTTCTGCCAGGCAGCGCGCGGCTCGGAGCTGGGGGTCTCCGTCGGTCTTGGGGTCAGCCGCCAGGCCCATGAGGGCGGCCAGCCTCCCAGCACAAGCCTCTTCCTCTTCCTCTTGCCCTAGTCGCCCGTACACGTGCGCCAGATTGGCCCAGGCGTTGAGGTTGCCCGAGTCCTCACGGGCCACCTCAAGGAAGCTCTCGCGGGCCTCATCTATCTCCTCCAGGTAGAAAGCAAACGTGCCCAGAAGGTGGCGCACCGCCGAGCGCTGCCGGGGAGCCGCAAGCTCCAGCTCCTGCCGCAGGCCATCCCGCTGCAGCTTCAGGTCTCGGGCGCGGAGCGAGGCCGGAGAGCGCGGTTCGAAGTTCAACTGCATCTCTAGGTGGAAGTGGCCCGGGAGGTAGTCCAGGTCGTCGAGGAGGGCGTCCAGGTCCTCGGCTGCCACGGCCTCGGGGTCCGCCATGTCTCTCCACTGCTCCCCGGATTTGGCCCTTGCCCCGGAGGCTGCGGAGGGCAGTGGATGAGACGCACCCCCGAGCGAGCCCGGCGACGGAGGCGAAGGTCAGCGGTCGGCGGCCCAGGGCGCAGTCACCTCCGGGTCCTGGGGCGCCTCCCGCCGGTGGGTGGGTCCCTGTGGGTGTTTCCGCTTTCGCTGCTCTGCGGCTCTTAGATACCTGCATTGCACGACCAGGTGCGCCCGACAAACAGGTGCATTGCCAAACGCGGGCGCACGGCAAAAGGCGTGTTTTCGTTTTCTGCCGAAGAAACAGACTCAGAAGGAAAAAGGACCTGTGGCCGTCACAGAACTGAGATGTGCTCAACCAGGCCTTCCTCGGTGGGCACTGCTCCACCCTCGCTGACCAGGAGAGTCAGGAGCGGCCCTGCCAGCTGCCTACATCGGCCCCCTCGCTCCTGCTGCTGTCCCATGCTCACCACAGTGCCCCAGGGTTCTCCTTCCTCTGAACACAGCCTGTTCTCCACTTGGGATTTCGCTGCCTTCTCTCTGCCCTGCAGTTGGCCCCACTGGGGAAACAAAGGGGCTCCAAGTGCTGGTTCTAATGCTGGTTCTCTACCGCTGAAGTGTGACCTTTATAATTTCCCACTTCAGCCTTCCCCGTCTCCAGACAGGAAGGTGATGACACCTTCTCATCCAGGGGCAGGGTAGATATCACGGATAAACCTGGTAAGTATCACTCTGGAGAACCGCCAGCTCCCGCTCCTTATTCGTGGTTCCCAGCCCACCTTGCACTCCACCTGGGCCTTGAAAAGCCTGGGTTCACTACACTCTCCAAGGCTGGGCTTGCTCCCTGCAACAAGACCGTTTGTCCTCCAGTGCTTGGCTTTTCTAGCAAGTCTGAACTTCCCGGTCCCTCCTGTCCCTCTTTTCACTGGGGCTGGGCTCCCTGAGATCCTTGTGCTTCAACTTCCTTGAAAAACAGTCTCATTTTCAAAAGAGAAAATAGAGCCAACTAGTAAACTTAGAAAAAAATAATGGACTTGAACAAAAAAAAAAAAAAAAAAAAGGAAATTAAAACAACGTTCTGGTGCTATTTTTCACCTGCAATTTTAAAGTATAAAATGTAATAATTTGATTAAAAAGAGTGTTACTATAAATTTCTGGTGATTGTGGGACAAAACGTGGGCCCTGACCTGTGGGGAACGACCAGGAATGGATTCCAGAGTGTTTGGCTTTTTAAAAAAATTTTATTGTGGTAACATACTTAACAAAAGTTACCATTTTCACCATTTTTAAGTGCACAGTGTAGTAGCATTAAGTACACTCACACTGTTGTGCAACCATCTCTACCACCCATCTCCGGGATTTCTTCTTACACTGAAACCCTGTACCCATTAAACAAGAATGCCCCGCCCCCCTCCTTCCCTAGCCCCAGTAACCACCCCGCCTTCAATGGCCGTATCAATTAACTTACTACTTTAGCTACCTCAGATGGGTGGAATAATATAATATCTGCCCTTTTGTGTCTTGCTTGTTTCATTCAGAATAATGTCGTCAATGTCAGTGTTCATCCACATTGTGGCATATGTCAGACTTGACTTTCTTTTTAAGGCTGAGTATTTCATTATATGTATATTATACATTTTGTTTATCTAGTCATCCATTCACCCCAAGAGGGTGGCTTTCACCTCTTGACTGTTGGGAACAATGCAGCTATGAACATGGATATACAAATATCTATTAGAGACCCTGCTTTCAATTCTTTGGGCTATGCACCCAGAAGTGAAATCCCTGGGTCATGTGGTAATTCTATGTTTCGTTTTTTGAAGAACTGCTATACTGTTTTCCCCAGGAGCTGCACCATTTTACATTCCCACCAACAATGCACACATATTCCAATTTTTCTACATCCTTGCCAACACTTGTTATTTTTTCTGGTTTTTGTTGTGTGCTTTTTATCATGGCTTTTGATCTGACTCAGAAAATGAGTAGGAGTTGGATGGGGAGTTGTACGTCAACAGCAGGAAAGGCATATGAAAAGGCTAGAGGTTTGCCATGCAGCTCTGTCTAGGGACAGAGCGGCCCATACGGTCAAAGCTTACACGGTGGAGAGGAGATGGCAGGGGACGAGGACTGAAGCAGTGGCCACAGCCCCATCACAGAAGCCTGAATCCTTGTCGAGAAGCTTAACTTGACTCGATTGACATAACAGATGGCTCCAGAATCTGGATGAGTTAGAAACTCTTTCTTTTTTTTTTTTCCTTTTCTTTTCTCTTTTCTTTTTTAAAAGATTTTATTTATTTATTTTTAGAGAGAGGAGAAGGGCGGGAGAAAGAGGGAGAGAAACATCGACCGATTGCCTCTCACACTCCCCTAACCAGGGACCTGGCCTGCAATTCAAGCGTGTGCTCTAACTGGGAATTGAACTGCAACTTTTCAGTTTACAGGAGGATGCCCCAATCCACTGAGCCACACCAGTCAGGGCTTTTCTTTGTTTGGGTTTTATGCATGTATTTATAGAGAGAGGAGAAGGGAGGGAGGAAGAGGGAAAGAAGAGTTAGAAACTCTTCCAGCCAGGGAACTCCCAACCCTAGTTATGGGTTTCTTATCCACTGTGTGATCCTGCACCTCACTAGATCTTCCTAGGGCAAGTTACTCTCCCTGTCTGAGCCTTACTTTCGTCTTCTGTGTAATGGGGATAGGAGGAGTTTTCAGCACTACCTACAAGAGAGAAAGAGTGAGTTGCTGTGACGGGGAGGCTTGGGCTAACTAGGGCAGGCTGCCTTGCTGCACAGCTGACTCAGCCGGGCCTGCTCTGGTCTGTCTGGCAGCCAGGATTCCCAACCCAGCAGAACTTGGCCTATATCCTGCGGTCACTCCTCCATGAGTCCTACAACCAAGAGGCTCAGGCTGGGATAGAAGCAGCTGCAGGCAGGCCTGGGCCACACTGAGAGTATCTGAGCAGGCCTAGTGCTGGTTGCAGGGACACCCCATGCACAGGACTCGGTTGTTTGCACAGCCACACCTCACTGACACACGGAAACAGCTGCTCCAGGAGGCTGCAGTCATATGTTCATGTCACAGATAAGGAAACTGAACCTTGGCCAGGGTAACTTGCCTGAGATCACCAGCTAGGAAGCAACAAGGCCATGATTCAAACATGAGTCTCTTCGACGATCTATGCACTCTTGGGAGGTTGGATTAGATTCATGTATTTGTTCACTTATCATTCAACAAATACCGAGCATTTACTATGTGCCAGGTACTGCACCAGGAATGAATGAGACACAGTCTCTGCCCTGGGCCTTCTGAAAGTCCCTTTCCAAGGGCAGGTAATGACCTCTTACTGAGCTTCTGCTACTTCCCAGGAGAATACCTAAATTAGCTCATTTAATCCATACAGAAATCTGGAGAGACAGAGATTATTAGCTTTATTTTATGGGTAAGAAAGTTGAGAATCAGAAAAGGAAGTGCTTGCCCAAGGTAACACAGTTGGGAAGGGGCAGAATCTGTGCTCAGATGACCCAGGTGTCTGTTCTGTGTGTGTTCAGCTCAGCAGTGCAGGTGGACACTCTGCCAGCCATGGCCATGTGCCTGCTTGACCTGGTGCCTGGGCTTCATGGTGCCTGGGCTTGGCATCTCAACTTCCTATTTAAATGCTATGCTGGCCCTGGTTGGTGTGGCTCAGTGGATTGAGCTCTGGCCTGTGAGCCGAAAGGTCACTGGTTTGATTCTCTGTCAGGGCACATGCCTGTGTTGCGGCCCAGGTTCCCAGTTAGGGGTGTGCAAGAGGCAGCTGATTGATGTTTCTCCCACACATCAATGTTTCTCTTCTTTCTTCTTCCCCTTTCTCTGAAAATAAATAAATAAAATCATTTAAAAAAATGCTGTACTAGATGCCAGAGGCACATTGAGTGAGACCCGAAAGGAGACCCACTGTCCCAGTAGTCCACTTCCACCTGGGCTAGATGCAAAAGAAGCCCTATTTCTGACTTAAGTCTTGACATCATAAATGAGATGTAGCTCTCTCCTGTTCCAGATAAAGGAGAGAGGAGAGCATATATTCTCAATTGTTTTCTTTACCTAGCAGGTCATACATATTCTTCAATGAGTTTGGAATTCTCCTCCTCCAGGAAGCCTTCCCTGATCTACCCACCGGCTGGGTCAGGGATCTTCCTGTCTCAGAGGCCTGGCCACGCTTTGTGAACATTGTTTTTCCCACTAGACTCTCATGACCGGGACCTCATGTGAGTCCCATGCACTCTGTACAGCCTCTACAGAGTGATGTGAGTGAGTGTGTTTTTGAGGGATGTCTGAAGCACGATGAGTCGCGACTCCATCCTTGCAATCCTTCCTTTCCTCCCTGCAGCCTCATTCACGCCTTTCCCTCTGGCTGTCCTTCTCCCCCGAAAGGCGGAAGGCGAGAAGGAACCAGGCGTCCTCTGCCAAAGTCGGGCCTTTCGTGAGTCTCAGCCGAATCCCCCGGTTGAGGGCGTGCGAGGGCAACCGATCGAGGTTACCCCCGAACATCGTGTTTCTCTCCCTTTCTCCCCCTCCCTTCCCCTCTTTCTAAAAAATAAATAAATAAATTCTTTTTAAAAAAGAAAGAAAAGAAAAAGTCAGGAGACTGCGCGGGCAGGCGGGTGAGAGGAGTCGCGTCGGCAGAGACGCGGCCGCAGTTCTCTGGCGAATCACAAATCTCAAAGGCCCGGTTGCTGTGGCAGCGGCGGCGGGACCAGGGACCAGCTGTGCGGGGAAGTCCCGCCGCCGGAGTCCCGCGAGGAGGGAGGGAACTCGCTGCTGGGGGCGGGCCAGAGAGCACCATGGCGGTGAAGTGGTTCACCGGGGCGCCCTTCGGGGTGCAGAGCCACAGGCGAGGCTGGGCAGGGGGGCCGGAGGGAGAGAGGGCCCCTGAGGCAGGGCTGGAGCCTGCGGGAGGAGGGAGCTGTGGGCGGAGTGGGGGCTGGCCTTTCTCTCTTCCCTTCATAGCGGCTGCACTTTCCTGTCCAGAAGTCCATTGATTACTGCTATTAAGATATTTAAAACCATCTCGAAAGCACCTACAAGGTGCCAAGCTCAGAGGGGCAAAGTGGCCTGGCCCGTAACAAGTCGCTTAGCTTAAGAGTGGTGGGTAGGATTTCAGCCCAAGTGTCTTTCTTTATTCATACATTCATAGGATATTGAGGTGTGTGTATATATATGTATGTATATATATCACCTATTATATATATATACACATACATATATACACATATATAAAATAGGTCATATATGTATACATACATACACATCACCTATTTTTAATGTATATATGATATAGGTGAGATATATACAGATTATTGATCCCAAGAAACCCAGAACTTATTTATGAAAAATGGTGTATCTATTTTTACGTGTTTAAACTTCAGTCACCTTCAAAGTACTCTTCATTTGATGCAGTACACCTATCAAGATGTTTTTCCACTGCTCAAAATAGTTTTTGAACTCGTCAATTTTGATGCCTTTTAATGCTTCTGCAGTTTTTTTGTTACACCTCTCCCACATCAGCAAAACGTTTCCCTTTGAGGACTTTTTTCACTGAGGAAACAACAACAACAAAAAGTTGCTTGGGGGGAGATCGGGTGAATAGGGAGGGCGGGGCACGGGGGCGGGGTCAATGCCATTTTTTTGATCGAAAACTGCTGAACACTCAGCGAGGTGTGGGCAGGTGCACTCATAAATCACCCATCATGAAATGGACAAATGCGTTGAAAGAGTCTTCAAAATATTTCACTTAAGCCTAACATAGCCTCTCACAACAATTCCAGCTGGCACACTGATACCAGGTTCCTAGAACCTTACTTAGTGGGGGAAGCCTGTACTACAAAGAGCCTGCCCTTCAGAAAATAATCCTGGTGTTCTATTTTGGGGTCCCTCCTCGTCTATCATCTACTATATATCAGGCACAGTTGTAGCATCTGGGGATACAGCAGTTAGCAAAACCATGTACTCAAGGTTTGCATTCTTGCGGGGCGGGGGGAGTTTGGAGCAGATAATAAACAAAAAAGAAAAATATATAAAATGTTGGGTAGTGATAAGGGCTATGAGGAAAAGGAAAACTGGGAGGAGGATCTGGTAAGTGCTGGAGGGTGGGGTGGGAGTTGCACTTGAATTCTGAGTAAAGGCTCCCAGCCGGGGACAGGGGACCAGGCAAGAGTGGTGTCCACGGAGAGGTAACCAGGAGGGATGAAGGCCCTGCGACAGGGGCAGCTCTGCCCACCCTTCACGGGCCGGCTCTGGGTACCGGGCACCCGGCTCTCACTGGGCCCTGCCTTCCCCAGGTTTGATGTCTCCGCCGTTCACCCCAACCAGAAGAAGATGAGCACCTTCACGGAGGTCCCGTACTCCAGGCTTCATTCCGTAGCAATGGTGAGCGTGCCCTGCTGCGCTGGCTCTCCCACGTGGTCCGGCCTCTGCTCCGCAAGCCCCCCACCATGGCGGATGAGCTGAGCCATGGGAGGGATGTGCCTCACGCCTCTCCATGCCCTCCATCCTCCGCACTGAGCTTGGTTCAGAGCCAGGGCAGGACTGTAGTGAAAACAGCCTGGGTTGGGGCCACAGTGACCTGGGTCCCATTCCCATCTCTTGCACTGACTGGCTGTGGGATCTTGAATGAGTTACTACTCCTCTCCGAAGTGGGAGGGGGCCAATGATAGATGGCATCTTGAGTACCATGCCTGTCGTTGCCAGGCTTGGGGCTGGGGGTAGGACTACAGAACAGCAGGTCATGCCCTGGTCAGCGTGGCAGCTTCATGAGAGCTTGCTCTGTGGGTGGACGGAGTGTGTATGGCTGTTCTAGCTCTGACTGTGTTCTGATTCAGTCCCACATAGGACCTGGGACCTATGCCAGCAAGGGCACCTGCTTCAGCAAGCAAAAGCTGAAGGAGGAGGTGGGCACGGGCTGGGCCAAGGCCCAGGAAGCCACGCGGCTGACCCAGCTGCCTCACTTCCAGTACCAGCCCATCATAAGGGAGAGGCGGCTGCAGGTGAGGTCCCTAGGCCATCCTCCTCCCCACTCCAAGGGTGGCCTCAGTGTCCTCCGGGGCCTAGGTAGAGCTCATCCTTTAAGGAACACCATCATCCCCGGGCTCCTTCCCATGGGAACATCCCCAAGTTCAAGGTTTTCACCTTCTTTCTTCTCTTGGGACAGAAGGATAAGCTGGGGCCCGGCACCTACAACTTCAAAGACTTCTTAGAACAGCTGCAGCAGAAGCCATGCAGCACCCGGGGGCTGCTCAGCTCTGGGGAGGTCCGCTTCCGAGGACACATCGGGGTAGGTGCGCTCCTACATGGAGGGGGAGCCTCTCACCCTCTGCTCTCCTCAGAGCCTGCAGCCTGGGCGGTGCTGGAAGCGCCGCTCTCATGCCCTTTTCTCCCCAGGCTTGGCCAGGCTCTCCTTTGGGTCCCCATAGCCCCCAGTTTTCCAGTGCCATGGCCTCAAGCCCACTGGCTGTCCTCTATCCCTGCGATTGTCCCTCAACTAGACCGGAAGTTCCCTGCTGGCAAGAATGCATCTGGTTCACCTCTGAGTTCCCAGTGGAGAGCCTCACATACATTAGGTGCTCAACAAATTCATTCATCTTTATATCCAGCCAGCCAGCCAGCCAGACGACAAATAACAAGGGAGCACCCACTAAGTGCCAAGCACTGTTGTTGGTCCTGCGGACCCAGCAGTCATGAAGACAAGGTTCCTAGTGTCCTGGAGCTGGTATCCTAGTGCTAGAAACAGCCGTGTAAAGAAGCAAGTCATGTGTTATCAGGCTTATGAGAAAACTTGAGGCAGGGAAGGGGTAGAGAGTGATAGGGGTGGTCAGGGAGGGCCTCTGGGAAGAGGTGACATCTGAGCAAAGCCTGGAGAACAGGAGCAACTGAGATTCACGGCGTCTGTGAGAGAGCATGCTGGGCAAGCAGGGACAGCAAAGGCTAAGGCCCTGAGCGAGACCAGCAGGCAGGTGGCCAGTGGGGCTGGAGAGAGTGGGCAAGGACGGGAGGAGGAGAGAGGGTGGAGGAGAGGGGCGGCCATGAGGACCTTGCAGGACTGTCGGGCCTTCGGGTTTGATTCCAGGTGCTGTGGGAGGTCAGTGCGGGGTTTTGACAGGAAGGGCTTGACTTACACTTTCAGGGGTGCACCCTGCTTGTGCGGGTGAGGGTTGCAGGCTGCCCTGGCCCACATGGGAGGGGACGGCCGTGGGCGGTGGGGAGGCAGGAGGGCCGCAGTGGTATCAGCGTGGGCTGGGAACATCTCATGTAGCTGGGGCGGGGGGGGGGGGGGGCGGTGCAGACACTGAGTGGGGTTCAAGCTCAGTTAGGTCATGAGAGAGAAGGCAGGAGTCACGCCACACCACGTGAGGGCTGTGGTTTGCTGAGTGCCCCACCTCCCAGGCCCTCGAGCTCGGGGCCGGACGCTCTCGGCCTTCTCCCAGCTCCCCACAGGCGCCAGACTCTTTCAACTAGGGCTTTGCTTCTGCTCTTTCTGTTGTCAGAAATGCCCTTCTTCCTTGAGTAGCCCTTCACCTGAAGAACTCCCACTCAGCCCTCAGCTCGGCGCTCCAAGGTCTGACCTGAGCCCCTGCTAGGTGACACCTCCCTTTCCTAAGAGTCCCTGCTGTGATCGTGTGTTTAGTGTCTCCCCTTCTCCCACTGGACATCAGCCCCTGAGGGCGGACCACATCTGCCTAGTTACTGCAGAACTCTCAGGCCCTAGCAGCACCTGACACATAGCAGGCAAGCAATAAGTATCTGTGGACTACATGCCGGCACGCCTCCTAAGTACCAAGTACTCCAAAACGTTCTCCCTGTTTATGTTCACTCCTGATGAGGCCCTGGCGGCTCCGAGAGGATAGGCGGCTTGGCCCAGCCTGCAGAGCCGCAAGCGAGGAACGTCCAGGCCCACTGCCCGGGCCTGTCCCCCGCACCTCACCGCTGCGAAGCCTCTGAGGCCTGGAAATGACTTCTTGCCTTTTTTAGGGGACAGGCATCTGCATCGTCAGGTTCAGGTGCTATAACTGCAACTCAGGGAGAGGGGATGCCTGCAGGCACTTAAAAATGAGTCATTACCTTCAAATCTAACATAGTAATAGCTGGCACTGAACACAGCACTTACCACAAGCCAGGCACTGTTCTCGGGACTTCAGTGCACTAATTAATTTAATCCTCACAATAACCCTATGAAGTAAGCGCTATCATTATCTCCACTTTCTAGATGAGAAAACAAGTGCAGAGGGTTTCAGTAGCTGCCCAGGGTCACCGAGCTACTAAGTGACAGAAGCAGGATTTGAAAGCAGGTGTTCACACCTAACCGCTGCATTGTGCCCGTAGGCTTGGCTCTTTTGGACTTTGTTCGACTAACTGTGAAGGGCAGGGTCTAATGGCAGAGCCCAGCCCGGCTGAGGGCAGAGGAGTTGGGGGAACATATCTGATACTGTGTGTTTCCTTCCTGTGTCCCCAACCCCCAGCTCTGGGAGCTCTGGGGCGCTTGTGAGTGTTGGCTGCACAGGGTGACAGGGCCATGGTGGGTCCCTCCGTTCCAGCTGTCTCTTCTCCCCTGTGGTCCCTGTACCTGCTCCAGCGCTAACCTTCGCCAGGCCCTGCAGGATTTCTGAGCCGCTTTCCTAGGCTCAGCCCCGGACAGTAAATTCAGGGAGGTGTCACTGCCTGGGTGGGCGAAGACAGTGCCTGGGGAGGGGGTGAGGGGCTCGTGTTGAAGGCCTGATTTTCTCAGTCATCGTCTTGCTGTGAGACCTGGGCTGGGACCCTGATGGCCTCTTCTGGTCTCTGGTCCCTACTGTTGTCTCCCCCACCCCGCCCCACCACAACCACTACTGCAGGTCTATAAACATCACCTGCCAAAGCTGTGGGTGCCTGCTGTGGGGTCCCATGACTCCTTCCCCCAAGAGGATGGGGCTGTCGAACCCTGCAAAGGCAGTGCCTTCTCCTATGGTTTCTGAAGTCCATCCTCCATGGGCACTGGGTGCTTCCACCCACCCTCCGCCCTCCCGCCTTAGTGCACTCCTCCTTCTCTTGGCTTTGGGGACACTGGGCTCTGCAGCCCTGAAGTTCCTCTGCCAGCCTCCTGCTATGTCTCCTCTTCCCCTCCTTGGGGGGGAGATCTCTTTTCACCCAGCCAGGCTCCATGCAGATGGTTCCAGAACCCCACCCCAGGGTTCCTCAGACACCTCAAACTCTGCAACCCCCACTCATCACATGACAGCATCTTCCCCAGGCCTGTCCTTCCAGGGAGTCGCTCCACCCAGCTGCCAGAGCCAGAAACGCAGCACACCTCGCTCCCCTGCAGTCGCTGGGGTCTGTGTTCTCAGCCTCCTCTCCCCCCCCCCATCCCTACTGCCTCTGCCCTGGCCCAAACCACTGCCCCAACCCTATCCCTACCCCCACCCCCACCCAAGGGTGGCCTCCTGATGGATTTGCTGGTCTCCTTCATCGCCAGCACCTTCCTAAGTACCTCACACCTCAGAATCAGGTCCTAACTTGCCTCGGTCGGGCCTCTAGGGCCCTTCCCACCCCCTTCCCACCCTCTTCCCGGCACACCTCTCCCAAGTCACCTCAGAGCGTTGTTCCCGCCTCCCTGCCTTTGCCCCTCTGCCTGGGGGAAATGCCCCCTTCCCCACACCCATCTCCTGGGGTCCTTTTCATTCTTTAAAGTCCAGTTTAAAACATCGGTAAGTGCCAGTTTCTCTATTCCCACACACCCCTGCCCTCAGAATTAATCACTCCTGCCTGGGCCCCCAAAGCTCCAACAACGTACCATTCTACTTAAAATCACGGGCTTTCCCATCAGCCCCAGTGTGTTACACCTCTGGATCTGTAAGTCCGAAGGGAGGGTTAGGCTTTGCCCACAGAGTCCCCAGTACTGAGCTCTTACCCCTTTACAGCCGTTACTTTTAACGCCCCCACTCCCACGTTGTGGCGCTCACTGCCCTCCTACCCCAGTGCCTACATGGTGCCTGGCAAACAGTAGAGGCTCAGAAAGATCGTGGATTTTGGAGCTGGCACTCTTGTGCTGCCCTTTGCCGGAGGTGGGACATTGGGTACAAAGACTGACTCTCTGAGCGTCGGTTCCCCCTTCTGTTCATTGCGAATGGCGCTGATTTGATCTCATCGGGTTGTCTCCAGGACCAAGAGATAGCAGGCTCGTGAAACACCTAACATATGAAGCAGGGACCCAGATTCCTACCTTGGGGCTTTTCTCTTGAACACACTGCAAACCCCGGGCCCTTGAAGGGGGCAATGTTTAGTCGTGCTCCTCTGAAGGCGAACAATTCGGATGCCCGCAGCTGCCTGACTTGCCCAGCAGAGCTCCTTGGCCTCCCTCGGCCCCGCCTGGTTCGAGGCTTCCCCCTTCTAGAGTAGCCGAGGTGGGAAGGGCTGAGCGATCGTGGAGCGGCAGCGACCCCTGGTGACTAAAAGATGCAGAACAGCAACACAGATCCTGCTGGTTCTCTTCCGAAGGACCCCCACCCACCTACGTGGCAGCGTAGCTCTCCTCACACCACCTACAATGAACATATTTCCGACCTTGGCAGTCAAGCTCCCAGATGGTCATTTCCGCCTTCCCGTCGTAATTCTCAGCCTCTCTTACCTCCTCCCGCCCTCTCCAAGACAGCTGCCCCACCATGGGCTGGGCGCTGGACAAGGGGCTTTAGAGACACTTAAAAATTTCATCCTCATTACCCTGGAAGAAAGTATTACTATTGCCATGTTACAAAGGTGGACCATGAGGCTCAGAAGGATTAAGTGGTCTGCTCAACGTCACTCATCGGGGCAGCAGCAGAGTCAGGATTCGAACCTAGGATTCCAGATCCTTCCAGGTCACAGCACAGTATGAAACCCATTTGTGCAAATGTAGGGCTAAGACATGGGTGTGACTGATGGAATTTCTGAGACCACCAAAGCAAGCAACTGTCTGAGGTAACAGGTGAAGGAAGGCTTCATTCCCAGGACAAAAGACACAGCACACCTCGCTCCGCTGGCTGCAGTCGCTGGGGTCTGTTTACATTGGCTCTGCAGGACTGGAAGGATTTTCAAAGGCAAAGAAGGCAGGAAGGATATTTCAGGTGGTAGTAAAACAGCGCAAGTAAGCAAAGGCAAGGAGGTTGTGAGAATGACATGTGTTTGGGGACCAGCGAGGACCCACTTAGGCTGAAGCGGGGGTAGGAAAGGAGCAGTAAAAGATAAGTTGACAAGGCAGCGGGGCCCTGGTGAAGAGTCTGAACTTGGATCGGTGGTGGAGGCTCACAGAGCGTCCCTGCTTTGTGTTGGGAGGTGGTGATACCCAGGGTCCCTGAAAATCTAGGTCCCCACTTGGCAGCGCCTCTTCCTCTGTTGCACTTAGCATGAGGAGTGGGACTGATGGCCTTCATGTCCCTCCCCCCCCCCCAGAACTCCTATCCAGGCCCTGGAAATTATGGCAAGAAAGGCAACCCGTACACAAAGCTGGAGGAGAAGGCCTGGAACCGCTCTCATTCTGAGGGCCTCATGAGCAGGATGACCAACAAGCCGCCGCCCTTGGCTCATCAGGTATCCCGCTCCCCTGGCCAGGCCTGGCTGCCTTGCTGCACAGTTCTGGGGGCAGACTCCTGGAGCAGATGGGGAAACGGAGACTTTGAGGGGGCGATGGGCCTCTTCAGCAGCCCTCCCGCAGGGGCTGGCATCTGTGCTCTGTTCCAGGGTAGTGGTCTGGCACCATGCACCTACTCCTTCAAAAGTGGCATAGAGGCATGCTTGGAACGATCCATGGGCACCCGAGGCCCCTATGATATTTTCTCTGGTGATCGAAGCAAGCCCCAGCCTTATGGACATTACTCTATGCAGGTGGGTACCCAGGTGGGGGTGTGGGTGCGGGGTGTGCGTTCCCCAGCGGGATAACAGGCTTCGCCACCACCGGGAACACCACCCTGTGTTCCGGGCGCCGTGTAGGGCCCTTCTCACAGCCTGCTTATTTCTCCATCACAGTGTTAGATGAGGAACCTGAGGCTGGCCACCCCACTGCTGATAAGGCACGGTGCTGGGATTTGAACTCCGGCACGTCTCTCTGACTGCACTGCCAGTTCGCACTCCTCTGCATTGGCATGGACTACGGAGGCAGTGCGGATGGCCATGGTGCCAGGCCTGGATGGGTGGGAGACCCGCCACAAAGCCTTCAGGGACCTTGACAGCCCAGGTCTGGGTGTCCTGCTGTTCATGACATACTTTCAGGCATCACAGACCCCGCTAAGCTGGCTGGGTTAGTGGCGTCCTGTTAACAAGGCAGAGAACTAGAGGGCCAGGAGGGGAAACTGAGGCAGAATTTTAGCTCAATCTTCCCTTTCCTGCACCCGTGAAGTTCCTGTTGTGTGATCCATACCACCCTGTGCTTTGCCTTCTTCATGCTCATAGCAACTGGACTGAAGTATGTGTGTAATTATCTATTTTTTTTGTCTCCACTATGCATCCACTCAGCGTGTACTGTTAGGCCAGGTAATAGCCTAGGTACAGGGGAAACTTGACCCTTTGGCATTTACATTCTAATGGGAATAGAAACACAGTCACAAGGAAAACACGACGTAAAGTGTTAGCAGGTGGTGAGAGCTATGGTAAAGGGTGTCAGAAGAGCTCGGGGGTGAACAGCCACTGCCCTGGGCCCCCGCCTGGTGCCAGGTCCCATGGGCCTTGCCAGGACCAGCCACGAGGTGGGCCTGCCCAGCACAGCAGGGGCCTTGGGACCCTCCTCAGGCCCTGCAGTCAATGCCCATTCTGAATGCAGTACCCAGACCACATAATATTATTTATTATCTAAAAAATAATACACTTTATTTTTAGTTTAGGTTCATGGCAAAATTGAGCAGAAAATGCAGAGTTCCTATATGTAGGTTCTGTCCCCCTTACACGCACAGCCTCCTCCACCAACGGCATCTCGCCCCAGAGAGGTACACTGGTTATAATCAATGAAACGTTGTTGATACATCATCACCCAAAGTCCACAGTTTACATAGACATCACTTTTGGTGTTGGTCATTCGGTGGGTTTGGGCAAAGGGACCCATCATTATAGTATCACACATGGTAGTTTCACTGCCCCAAAAGTCCTCTGTGTTCCCCCACCACACTGGTTTTTAAATATTTGGACCATCTCTCCTGCTTAGAGCTGTACCTGACTCAGTTCAGTGTTCATCAAATGAGTGAAAAGAAGAAGGAATGGATGAACTCAAGCTGGGCTGTAGGGTGTGGCTCATAGGCGGTTGGGGGTGGGGGTCGGGCTAGGGGGGTGGAGGGGGCTCTAGAGACCCTGCCGACTAATCCTGCCCCGCCCCCCGCCCTGGGCTGGGGGCCGCTCCTCGTCTGCCCAGGGCGGGCCTGGCGGCAGGACGGCCTCAGGCATCGGGGTAGTGTTGCCTCATTTCTGACTGCTGCCGAGGGTCCAGAAAGGGGACCACTGACTGTCCTGGCATAACAGGTAACCTCTTCTCACCTCTGTTTCTCAGAAAAAAAAGCCCAGGGAACTGATTGGCTTCAAGAGCTTCGTGGAAGAACTTAACTCCCGTGACAATAAGAAGCGTGGGGCGTTTTCAAAACTTTCCCGCAACCCGACAACCCCTACAGAGAGGATTTGCTGGTCCACCCTCAGCCAGTGTCCTCGAAAACTAGTGCGTCCCCGCCAGGGCCTGCCTGCCTTCCTCTCCCGGAGGGCGGCTCTCCTGCACGGCTGGGGCTGGGGCGGAGAGGGGTGGGTAGTTCCGGGGGAAGGCGCAGCCGCAGTGCCAGACCCACCGCGTTCCCAGTCTTGCACTTACCAGTCACCCTGCGGAGTCCCCCGCACTCTCTGAGCCTTGGTTTGCACACTTGATCTGATCAGGAGCGTGACCAGGTGGCCGTGAGAATTAAATGAGGTTAAGGACCGCAGCCCATAATGTGGAGCCTGGTACCCAAAAGTGCCTGGCTGGCACTGATCTCTACCCGGTCCCTCAGAAAATAAGGGGGGACACTGCGGTGGGGCAGAGTGTGAATAAGGGCTCTACCCTGGCAGAGGACTGCACACCTGTTCCTGCTAACGCAGGCTTGGGCTCCGTAGCCTGTCATCTGAGAAGGCCCCTGAGAGTAGCTGAGCCCCACCGGGGTCTGCTCCCTTTGAGAGAACTGCTAAGGGCTTGGGAAGGGGTGGGGTATAGGGAGGAAAAAGGGTGCCAACACTTTCTGAATGCCTGCATTTCCAGCACCTTGCCCCATGGAGAGATTACCATCTGCATTTCACAAAAGGAAACTAGCCCGAGAGATAGGCAGGGATTTTCCCAGACTCCCCCAGCAAGGGCAAGAAGGAGCGGATCAAAACCCAACTCATCTAGCTCCAAAGCCTGCGTGGCCTCTGCCTTCCAGACTAGGGTCTGGGCATCTCTCTGGACTCTGCTAGGCCTGCAGGGCCCTTGGGAACCTGGAGAGGGGTGTCAGGCTAGTGCCCGGGGGTTCGCATGGGTGTCCTGGATCATGAGGGCACCATAAGGCCCTTCAGCCCTGGAGGGTGGGCTCCCGGTGAGTGGGGGGATGGCTGGGGCTGCAGGGAGCCTTGCCTGCCCTGGCCCCAGGCTGATCACTGCCAGACCTCCCCAGCGTTGGGTCTTCATTCCTTACCCCTAGGGCCCCAGCATGTGGCTTCCTCCAGAGAAGGAGTGCAGACACACCAACCACCCACCGTTCCTGCTGTCCTCCAAGCGGACGGGCTTACGGGCCTACCAGATGTTTCTGGGAAGCTGGGTGAGTGGATTTCCATGGGATGGTGAGGAGTCCAGGACTCTCCATGCCCCTGGGAATTCTGGCTCTGAATGAGGCGGATTCCCCCTCTTTTCTCTGCTATTCTAGGTATCGCTCTTTGAGAACCACGGTGCTATATCACCCCAGAACTGTCTCATTCTCTTACTTTTCCAGGGGAAGGCTCCCTCTGCTCTCTCTTTGTATTTGTCTTGAGGCATCAGGCAGCTCAAGGAGGTGGCCCATTTCTCATCCCTGGTTGAGAAAGGACCCCTGGGGTTCCCTTCCCCTTCCCTCTCCTCCCCTCCCCAGAGGCAGCCAACCCCACGTGGTGATGTAATCTTCCCCTGTCCTGCCTGGCTTTAAATAGCTGTACATTTTAAGACCTCTCCTGGGAACATCTTGCTTGTAACTCATTTGCCTTCTCATTAAGCTCCCGCTACCCCATCCCCACCCTGACACTGAGGAGAGCAGCGTGCCAGCCACCTCATCGCCCTACCTCCGCACCTCCCTGAGTGATGGCTTGATCCCCAGTGTGCCCACAACCTCCCCGCTGCCCCTGCCTTACCTGATTCTCATGAGGACCAGCCGGTCAGTCCTCTGAGTCCTTCCTTTTCTCATCTGCATCTCCTGTTTAGAAAAGAGCCCAATGGCCACGCTGCTAGCACAGGGCTGGCCAGAGTGGGAGGGGCTGGAGTGAGGTCCAGGTTCCAGAGGCTGAGCTCTCCTGGCGCCCAAGGCAGGAAGTCCTTTGCCTACATGCTTGGCTGGGAGCCTACCCGCCACCCCCCGCCCCGCCCCCCGCACGTGACAGGACTTTCCCTTGGTGGCAGCAAGTTCGGCTTCACATGGGACTATTGTTTGGTTCCTAACATCCCCCAGCTCAGCCTTGGTACTGCTTCTCTGCAGATGGCCCAGTCCCTGTCCTGACATTCTTCTGCCCTCACTAGTCACCCTGGGCAGGAGGCGTGTCCTTTCTGAACCTCTGTTGGTGCCCCTTGTATCTACAACCAACCCAGGTATCTGGGCGGGATGGTATAGTAATTTCCTAAGGCTGCCATAACAAACTACTAGATGGTTTAAAACAGTAGGCCTGTATCTTCTCACAGTTTTGGAGGCCGGAAGTCTGAGATCCAGGGGGCTGTGCTCCCTCTGAAACCTGCTGGGGAGAATCCTTCCTGGCCTCTTCCTAGCTGTGCTGGCCAGCGATCCTTGCAATTCCTTGGCTTGTAAACACATCCCTCCAGTCCCTGCCTTTGTGCCGTATGGCCACCTTGCCCCTGGCTCCTCTTGTAAAGGGACACCAGTCACGTTGGATTAAGAGCCCACACTACTCCAGCACAACTTCGTCTTAACTAATTGCCATCTGCCGCTACAGTATTTCCAAATAAGGCCACACTCTGAGGTATTGGGGGTCAGCACTTCCACCCATCTTTTTGGGGGACACAATTCAACCCATAACAGATGTCGGAGAGAAGAGCCAGAGTCGGGGAGCAGGGGAAGGAGGCCTGAGATCAGGCTGCAGGCCAGGTATCCAGCTTGCTAACATCCTGCCTCCTCTCGCTGGTGCAGAACCCTGTGGGTGTGGGCCGCTACTTCAACACCTGGCCAATGGAGATGAAGGACCACCGGCAGCGATATCGGTCCCTGTTCTTGGGAGAATCCAAACGCTACCCGTCGGACCCAGACCGGGACAGATTCTTGCAGTGAGTGCCACTGGAGCGTCAGCAGGGGAGCCAGGGCACGGAGGGGCTCACTCTGGGGTAGGCAGGGTCCTCCCCCACCTTGTGCTTGGTTCCCCTGGGAACACAGCTGCTGCCCCTAGTGCCAGCCACAGCTGTGGCAGTGGAGAGAGTTCAGGTCCTGACTCTGCCATTTCCTGGCTGCGTGAGGTGGGGCACATCGCTTAGCCTCTCTGAGCCTCATTTTCCTCAACTGTCAAAGGAGCAGAGGATTGTGGAGGCCCAGATGAGACGCTCCATCTAAAGCTGTGGTGAGAAAAAGGTGGTGGCAACACTGACTCCTCCACCCACCACCCACACATTCTCGGCTCTGCCTTGCAGGCCTTCGCCCATGGGGCCTCAGTTCCTTGGTGTTCATATGGGGTTGGTAAAAGTCATTAAAGGAAGTTTTTGTGAAGCCAAAAGAAAAAGTGCATGAAATACCATGGCTAGCTGGGAAACGGCTCACAAATGTTAGCCGCTGCCATATTTTACTGACCTGAGAGGCTGTCAGTACAGTGGGTTCTCAATTTCAGAAATGTGAAAATGTGAGTAAGTGTGCACTTCAGAGTGGATCGTTTGTTGGAAATCCTGGCGAGGGCATGAGGACCAGACTCTGGGGTCAGAGCGCTCAGGGAAAACCAGCTTTTAACTGTTTACTTTTATCGAAATAGTCCTGTGTCTTCCTCTTTGATCTACTCCCTTGTTTTGGTGGCTTCCTTAGAAAAGGTAATTGGAGGTAACATTTTTGATAGACAGAATTCCTGAAAAAAAAATTTTTTTTTCTTACCTGTGCAACTGGTCAATAGTTTGGTTGGAAATAAAATTTTAGGTTGGAAATGATTATCCCTTGGAATTTTGAAGGCTTTGCTCCCTTGTCTTTGAGCTTCAAGTGTGTTTGTTAGAACCAGGCTGTTTTGATGGAAAAGCTTTGGAGGGTGTCCATTTTGGCCTCTCACCCAATGTAGGATCTTCTGGGAAGCACAAGCGGCAGGCACCTGTTCATCCCTGTGGGTGCTCTCCAGGGATGGGCGGGGTGGGGGGGGGGCTCACTCCTTTCCAAGGGACCAGGTCCATTTTCTTTTTTTATTTCTCTTTTTAAAGGGAAAGGATCACACCGTTTACTAAGGGGAAGTGCCCTCCAACTGTGGATTACAATTCAGATCCTACTCCTTAAAGCCGCATATGAAGGACAGCCTGCAGTGACCAGAGGGCCCAAAGGACTGAAGACAAATCTGGGGATGGGAGGCTGGAAGAGGACATGGAGAAAGGACACATGGGAATGCGTGGGAGAGGGGAGAGAGGTGGGGATGTGGTGGGATCACGTTTACTGGGGACATCTACCTGGAGGTCATGGTGTCTGCTGCAACATCTGAGCCAGATATCTTTTGCTACAAGAGAGCAGTTATTCTGAGAATTTAAATTGTCCAGTCATGTGAACGTGGGAGCCAGACAGCAGGTGGACTAAAAGGGGTAACATAGCGTGGACACTTTTGGGACCCCTTCTATTCTAAAGCCAAAGTCCTTGACTCCCTGTTCATTAAAATCCAAAAAGAGGCAGGAGAGTGTGGCATATATCATAAGGCAGTCTAGGTCCCCTCGAGGAGTATTCCGTCTCCACCCCAGGATGCTTCTGGAAGCTCAGCAGCGCCTCATGCTGACCTGCAGGCAATATGCAGCCATTGGGAGCAATGTGTTTCACCCCTAGAGTCGTGCCTCCTGAGCACACCAGTCTAGCACGAAGGTGGGTCTGTGGGCATTGATCACAATATCTTGAGCTATTTTTTGTAAGTGAGAGATTGGGTGGGATGATAGGAGGCTGTTGTCCCTAGAGAAAAGGAGACCAGGACACCACAGCCTCAGCCTTAAAATCCACATAATGATTAAAAAATACTTCAAATACTTCCTTCAGAGCCAGAGTGTGTTACAAAAAAAGTTTCTTTTTCACTCATGTTGAAATGACTGTTTTGGAAGAAGCAACACTGTCTTTATTCATAGACAACATGAATCTGTGTAAAAATCACACTATATCCTCAAAAAAAAAAAAAAAAAAGCTGATACACCAAACTATACATAAACTAGATTTAATAAGTCAGCTTAGCAAGGTTTTAAGAAGATCAATATGCCAAAATCAACTATTTCTATATTAAATAAATAAATGATTAAAAATTGAAAATGCCATTTAAAATTGCATCAAAACTATGAAATGCTTAGGTTTAAATTTCACAAAAGTTATACAAGATCTGTACATTGAAAACTATAAAATGCTGCTGAGAGAAATTAAAGAAGACCTAAATAAGGGAGGGATATATACCGTGTTCATGGATCAGACTCAATGTTGTTAAGAATGGATTCAAAGCAATCTCAATAATTTTTTTTAGTTGGCAAGCTTATCCTGAAACTTACAGGGAAATACAAAAGATCTGAAATAGCCAAAACAAATTTTTAAAAAAAGGAACAAAGCTGCAGAATTAACATTACCTTAGCCTACAATGTGGAATTGGTGTTATGAGAGATTAGATTAAAGAAATAGAATATACAGAACCCAGAAACACACACACACATATGGACAATTAATTTACAACAAAGCTGCAAAGACAATCCAGTGTAAAAAGAATAGTGTTTCCTACAAATGGTGCTAGAACTGTAGGATATCAATATGCAAAAAACAACAACAAAAACCAAAACAAACACTGGAGTCAATCAGACTTGCATCACAGACAAAAATTAACTCAAAATGGATCATAGACCTAAATGTAAAATCTAAACTATAAAACTTCTGGAAAAAAACAGAAGAGGACATATTTAAATGTTGTGTGAGGCAAATATTTCTTAGATACCAATTTAACTACTTATCCAAATGTTTAACCATTTAACAATATGTTAGATTGGATTTAATTAAAATGAAACACTTGTTCTTTTAAAAACACTATTAAAAGAATGGAAAGACTAGCCACAGATAATATTTGCCAATTGTATAGCTGATAAAGAACTTATATCCAGAATTCATAGTCACTAAAGAAATGCAAATTAAAACCACAATGAGATGCCACTACCCACCTATCAGGATGGCTGCAATTAAAACGACTGACCATACCCAGTGTTGGTGAGGATGTGGAGCAACTGGACCTCTCATACTCTGCAGGTGGAAAGGTAAGATGCTACAATCCCTTTGGAAAACCGTTTGGCAAGATAAAAAGTTAACCAACACCTACCATATGATCCAGCCATTCCTCTCCTGGGTATTTACCTGAGAAGGGAAAGCATATGTACATGCAAAGACTATACAGAAATGTTCCAGCTACTTTATTAATAAAAGCCCCAGAGTTGGAAATAACCCAAATGTCCATCAACAGGTGAATGAATAAGTAATTGTGGTTTATTCATACATATATCAAGACTAAGCATACTGTACACTTAAAATATGTGCAGTTTACCATATGTTAGTTATACCTTGATAAACTGTTACAGTTTGGAAGAAGTTAAGGAAAAATAACAACTAAATGCAATGTAGGTTCCTAGAAAGGACTCCAGAAGGAAAAGGAATGTTAGTGTGAAAACTGGTGAAATTCAAACAAGGGCTGTGGTTAAGTTAACTGGATTATGCCAGCAACAACGTCTTGGTTTTGATCATTTTACTGTGCTTTTGTAGAAGTGTTAACATTAGGGGACATTGAGTGAGGGGGATAGAAAAATCTATCTAGTATTATCATTGTAACTTTCCTGTAAGTCTAAATTAATTCAAAATAAGGTTTAAAAAATATGCAATAAAAATTTTTAGAACTGCTTTACCTCACAGAAAAAGCGCATTTTTCAAATACATTAGCTATCCTATTACTGACCGTTACTGTTACCAGAAAGTCAGCGAATTTGGAGTGCTTGCTTTTTTATAAGAGGCACCTGTGAGGCAACTTTAAACTAGGCAGTTCTTTTAAGTACTCTGCCGTGAGATACCAATGGACTTCTGTTACAGAAGCCACATATGGTGGGAAGGGACAGCCAGCTACTGGAACGGAGCGAAAGGTTCTCTCGCTGCCATGGAAGACTTCATTCCACCGTTTCTAGGTCTGGAGCGCCTGTCTCAGCGGCTCCGGCAGCTCCAGCGAAGGCCCTTTGAGTTCTCCGTTGTCGTAGGACTAGATGAGTCTGCGTCCTTGTTTAACTCGCTAACAGCTTGGAAGTGCCTTTGGGCAAATCACCTGACCTTCAAGGAGCTTCACTTTCTTTCTTTGTAAAATGGAGATAAAAACGGACTTACTTTTGTGACAGGATTGTGAGGGTTAAATAAGCCGTTGCGTGTTGTGTGCAATTCAAATGTAAGGTGGGATCGAAGGCTTAAACTACAAAATCTGTTTTAGGGAACATTACAGATTTCTCCCTGTTTATGGTGAATTCACAAAATCCAGGTTTGTGAAACTGAACAATCGGAAAAGGAATTTCCTAAAAGGCTCCCCTGAAATAACTTTAGGAAGGGATGCCCACCTCGTGTCCACTTTAGGACAGTGTCCATCATGTATATCTATACACGCGCATAAAACTTTATTGCACTAAACTCAACTATTTTATCTCTGCTCATTTAATTCTGACAACCCTGTAACGGTTGGGGTGAGCTAAATTGCTCTACCGTGTGGTTGGTAGAGTAATAATATGGGCATAACAATTTATAGTTCTAATTTGAAGATTTCACCTAAAATGTCGTATGGTGTGCTTGAGAGCGATACTGTTATGTTACAGAATTACATGCTTATGGTTTTGTAATAAAAGATTTTGTAATAAAAAAGTGTTATTTGTGCTGGACCCTGTATGTAGGGACTCAACTACAGTAAACATTTTATTTCTTGCTCCCATAACAAAGCAGGCCAGGCTTTCAGGGTTATGGGCAGGTAGTTCTCTGTGATTCAGGGAACCAGGCTCCTTCCAGCTTGTGACTCTGCCCCTGCCCATGGCCTGGTGGTCGTCTGCATCCAGGTAACAGAAGGCATCAGAACCAGGAGAACCTCGCCTAGGTTTTTACCACTCTGTCCATATTCTTCTAGAGAACTGTAACTCGAGGACACACTTCAGTGCAAGGGAGGCTGGGCAGCATAGTCCTGCAGTGCCCAAGGAAAGGAGGAATGAGTATTAGTGGATAGCTAGTAGTCTCCATCCGTTTGTAGGCGAGGAAATAGTCTGAACAGGGTAACTTGCCAAAATTTGTTAGGTTACAAGGTGGTGACAAAGCCAGGACTGGAGCCCACCATTCCTGACAACCATGTCTGGTGCCTTCAAAAGCACAGAACCCTGCCCTCTCTGAGCCACCCGCATCTCACCAGGACTCGTTTCTGGTGGTCTGGCTTCTACCCTTCCCCGCTGCAGTCTGTTCTCCACCTTGTAGATGGGAGATCCTGTTAACATCTACCCCAGATCACATCGTGACCAACGACATAAAATCACCCAGGACCCCACTGCCCTAACAAACTTGTCACTTCCTCTATGTTGTCTTTCAGTCCTTGTTCATGGGCACTCAGGTTCAGAGGGAGCCTGCACTTGAGCCAGGTCTGACTCCATCTTGTGGTCCCCAGGGCAAGAAACAACAAAGGCAGCTTTCCAGGTCACACTTTTATTTTCACAGAAGCGGCGGCCACACAGCTGCAGGGACGTGAGATATTCTGGACAGTGGGCATAGTGCCTGCGGTTGCAAGAGCCTGCTAAGGGAGGCTCATGCCTTTCTCCTTGGACCCCATGATCGAGGAGGAAAAAAACCAATCACACAACATCCCCAGCTCTCCCTTTCCTTTTAGTAACACCCAATTAAATTATGCATCCTTCCAGCCAAAGGAACCAGCTATAATTGATTTTACAGAAAACCTTTGCGCAGCTCAGAAACCCGCGGCTCCGGAGGGAGAGGCCTATTCTTTGACTTTCCACACACTGTCCTCCCACCCCAGTGCGAAGTTCAGCTCCACCTGAAACCACCGCGAGGTTGGACAGTGACGGGACTGGCTACAAGGAAAAGCTGACAGCTCACCGTGCTTGGAAGGCTGCCCTTGCCAGACAAGAGATTATTGGAGCAAAACATTAACCTGGGGCTGGTATGGTGCCAAGAACTTCCCTTCCAAGCCCCAGGTTCTGAGTGAGGTCTGTGAAGGACAGGATTTTGGTTTGTCAGGCAAAGGACAACAGAGGCTGCTGGCATCTCTGGCCGCCCTCCCAGTGGCTTAGGGATGGAGGCCCCACTGGTGAAATGATGGTCTTTTCTCCTGGGTTAATCTGCCCGGGTTAACCATTCCTCCACAGCAAATAGGATCATCAGTTTAACCCTGAGCAGGAAGCACACGGGCCCACTATGAGAACCAATGCCAGAATTCACGTGCTTTGCATACAAGCTAGGGAACGAGGTTTCTTCTATTTTTCCTGGGCCCCCTTCAGAGGCCAAATGGGTAAGGGGGTTCCTTTGCCTTCTGTGCCATGAATGCACCCAGCACTCAGGATCACGCTAAGCTACTTTGCAGTGTGCCAAGCCCTGGGTGGGGTGGGTGAGCATCCGTCACCAAAGCGTGACTGTGAGGATTCTGGCAACCTGCAGCATCAGCACTGCTGCTTCCTGTGAGCCTTTCTGAAAATGAGCAGACCACCCCCAAGTATCCACTCGATCATTTATTTTTCCTCTGATTTTCCACATAAATGAGGCTTTCCATGGGTTTTGCAACCACGGGGTCTAAGACAGCCATACACTTCTATAGCAGAGTGGCTCCAGGGAGGTCTTGTCTGTACTGATGTGAGAGATGAGGAAAAACTGTAGTTCAGAGGAACAAATGACTTGCCCACAGTTGCACAGCTCATCAGGGGCTGAAACCCAGGTCTCCTGACTCCTGGTGCGGTGCGCGCTCTCTCAGAACGTCACTGCTGGGCACAGCTCGCTTAATACAAGCTTCCCTTATGGGATGCAACTCCTTCCCAAATACTGGGTCTTTAGCTGAGCCCGGGCAGTTCTTAAGATGGGGTTGCATAAACAACCAAGCTTTAATAAGTGGGGAAGGGACCTAGGGAGTGTCCCTTCCCTCTGGAACGGAAATGGAGCTAACTTTTCTCTGAGCTTAGGATTTGTAAGGCACTGAAATTAACTACAGCTGGGGACGTGGGGGAGAAAGAAAAAAAGGGGACGAGTGGTTGCAGAAATTAAGCTGACAGTCTACTCTTTTAGCCCCATGGTGATGGACCCTAACAACAGCAGGCTCCATTTTCCTGCAGGTATGGTCCACTCCCCCGCCCCGATGCCGCAGAGCAGCGTGGACGCACCCCACCACAGCTAAGCGGGCTCTGGGGACAAGAGGCATGGAGGGACAGAAAGCCAAGGATGAGCCCGATCCACTGGATTCAATGCAGAGCAGAAACCACTCATTCCACTTGGGCGGGTGTCCCAGGTCAGGGACAGGATTCAACCCTGAAGTGTCTTCCCCAGGAACATGGTCCCCTAGGAGTAGACTAGGTGATGGCTGTGGGGGTGGGGAGGGGGCGGTGCATGTGAGCCTGAGTGCGAAGGAGGGAGGACAGGACATCATCACCGAGGACGGCAGAGAAACCTTTGGGATTGGACCTGGCTTTGGCACAGCACATCTTGGGCTTGCCCGCCCATCTGCTGCCCTCCTGAGACCCCAGGGCTGGAGAGGACCCTCGCTCCCCCCGGTGAGGAGCAATGGCTGGCTGATGGAAGCCGTGGCAGTGCAACTCCAGGACATGCTTTCCTCATTCCAGCCAAGCCTGTACCCAGGGGACCTAACATGGAGCCCTCTGGACTCAACCACTGAATGCAAAGCACTTCGGTCAGATCTGATACCCGACGGGAAGCAACAATAGCTACCACAGCCTGTAGGCAAATACTGTCATCCCTGTCAGCAGAGGAAGAGCCGGCCTCGGAGGGGCTGAGTGACTCACCAGAGTCACACAGCTAATGAGTGGCTGAACTGGGAACTGGACTCAGGTTCATCTGACTACAAATCCCATGTCCTTCCCTCTCCACGGGGTGGCCCCTGGAAGCTGGGAGCAGTCCGTTGGGGCTTCTGCCTGGGATTTCTGGAGGGGTTTGTTTCTGAAAGTGTGGATCTGGGAGAGCAGCCAAGCTTGAGTGACGGGAAGATGCCTCCTGGCCCCGGGGACGGTGTGCACCCCACACGTCTGTCTCTTTGCAGGCGGGCTCAGGCTCAGTGCCTGGCGGCCTTGCAGATCTTGTCATACACCTCGGGGAAGGCGTCCTGGCAACTGAGCTGCTCCCGCAGCTTATGGTACAGGGAGCCATCAAACATCTCCCAGAACTCTTCGCGGTTCATGTAGCAGTCGGCGTACAGCATCTGGAACCTGTAGAGCAGAGACAGGGGTGAGGACGTGGGGAGGCAATGTCAGTGGGACAGGGAGGGAGAGGGGATGAGAGAGAGCCCCAGCCGCCCTTACGTGTAGCATGCTTTGCAGTGCAGGAAATGCTTTTGGATTTCTCTTGTTCAGCCCCTAATGACCTAGTAGGGGTGGGTGGTGTGGGAATTCTTATCCCCATTTTGTAGGCAGGAAATCAAGGCTCAGGGTATTAAGTGGCTTGGCAGCGGAGGCAAAGTCAGGAGTAGACTCAGACTGCTGGCTTCTCCCCTGTGCTCGGTGCCCCAAACACTGCCTCCCTGATGGGGCCACTGGCTGCTTTCCTTTTATTTTTTTCTGGTGTTCGATAAACTGCGCATATTGAAAGTGTACAACTTACTAAACTTGACATATGTATACAACCTAGAAACGATCAGTTGAGATAATGACCGAAATGATCTCCCAAACGTTCCTTATGTGCCTGTGTTACCGCCCTGTACCATCCCAGGCAGGTCTGTTTTCTGTCACGAATTCTGGAATTTTACACATGGAAACATCTGAACTTCTTTTTCCTGGCTTCTGTCAACCGGCATAGTTATTCTGAGATTTGTCTGTGTTGTGCAGGGCAATAGCTTGTTCCAGGCCATTTTCTGAGCACTGCTCTGTCCCAGGCCTCTCCGTAGCTCTCAGTCATGAATCCCTCCCTCCTTAGTGTTGGTCTTCTAACCTGGAGTGGCAGCCCCTGAACATACGGCAAAGCCCGCATCATCTGCCGTGTGGCAGGCAGGTGTGGGGGTGCAGGCGTGCTGACTGGAGGAGGGGGATGCAGAGAGAAGAGAAGACGGGCAGAAGCCTGGTGCTCCCACCTCTTTACTGTTCACAAGGTACTTCCCAAAGCAGAGGCTGCCACGGTGACAGAGTCCCGGAGCGACCAGCTGGCCTGGCCCCAGAGCTGGCCACCTTGGCCCTTCCCTGTACTCTCTGCAGCAGTCCCCTGGGGCTGGCGGTTGAACAGACTGTGCCACCATGCTCTGAGCCACTCACCCATGCACGCTTCGGACAAACTTCTCCAACTGCCTCATGCAGGACCTGGCTTCGAAGTGCTTCACACGCGGCTCCCCGTAAGCTCCGATGTCCACGTAGAGCTCAGTCTCATCTCCCTTGGGGTGCACCAGGCCTGGCTGGCTGGGCAGGATGAATGGGCACAGCCAGATGGGGTAGACCTGGGAGGACCAGGGAGGAAGGTGTTGGTGCTTTTTCTCCAACAGGTGGCAGGCCCGCAGCTGGCCCGCCCCACACCTACCCGAAGAGAGGCTTTGCCACACTCTCCAGGGGCCCCTCCTCTGGCTGCTCACAGCTTCGCTCTCACCCTCAAGCCCCGGTGGAGAACACCCAGCTCCACCCCGCTGCAGCGCACAATCTGAGCCGTTCACAGAAGTACCCTTCTCTGGGCCCTATGACTTCTCTCCCATCAGGGCCATGGCTGAGCAGGTCTATTTTGCAGCGGGGGAAATGGAGGCCCAGGGGTCAGGCATGACCCACAGTTCAGGGGGAAAACTGAGTTCCACAGGATGGCTCTTGGCTGGCGCTGCTCTGCCCCACTCACGTGGATGTCGTTGTGGAAGGTGTGCAGGGCCTGCTCCAGGCACTTCATGGGCACCAGCATGTCCTGTACCACGTGGTGCTGCTCATACAGCTTGCGCAGGGTCTCGCCCTGGGTCAGCTTCAGGAGGGAGATCTTGGGGGGCACCATCCATCCAAAGAGGTAGCGGAAGATGGGATTGTTGCCGAAGGGGATGATGTCCTGAAAGAAAAAATTTGAAGATGGGGAGATGGAACCAATAAGGGCTGAGTGTCTCTGTGCCAGGGGCCAGGTCCTTGTTCAGAGCTAGACATGTACGACAGGGTCCACCCCTCCAATTTGCAGGGGCATAGTGGTACCCAGGATTTACCCAGTTGGATTACGGTTTGATTCTCAGTTCTGGAATTCACCAGCTGGGACGACCTTGGGCTAGTTACTTAACCTCTCTGAACTCAAGTTTCCTTATCTGTAAAATGGGACTTCTGAGAATAGTGACATACCTACCAAGTGCAAGGCATTCAGCCCAGTGCCTGGAGCAAAATGTGTAACTATGACTGCTGTTCTAGTTGTTGCTCACCTTTGAGGGTCAAGCTTAATGGCTATCTTCACCCCTAGACAAGAATAGCCATTTCTTCTTTGTGTTCCTGTGGCCCTTACAGCGCCACCCCCCAACCTGCCTGCCCTAACCCAGTCTCCCTAGAAACCCTCCCGAGCAGGGGTTGCTCTTCCTCATCTGTTCCTCAAATCGCTGTGAGGGAGGAGCCACCTCACCCAGGACTGCCGCCTTCCAGAGACACGCTCTGCTCCCCACCAGCCGGCAATCCTGCCCACCAGTCAATAGCAAAGAGCTGCTCCCAGCCTGCTGTCTTCCTGAGGGTCACCCAGGTCTTTTGATACCCGCTTCTCACAGCTCTCTGGCCCTTGATGCCAAGGACATTCTTTCATTCATTAGACAATTAGGAGGTACCCATGAGGCCAGTACCAGGTTCTGTGCTGGGCACCAGGGATACCAAGATAACTGAGACAGACCCTGTCCTCAGGTGTGGAAGAGACAGCCCACGGGAAAGAGCTGGGACAAAGATGCAGAGGCAGCTTATAAAAGGGTCCATCCACATCAGACTAAGGATCAGGCAAGGCTTCCCAAAGAAGCCTCCAAGCTAAGCTCTGGGGTCTGGGCGACGACTCCCCTCCACTCCCCTGGAATCACCTGTCTGATCGCCAGAGCACTCCCTCGAGGGAGGGACCTGTCTGCTCTCTTCTCTGTTAGATTCCGGCACCTTCACCAATGCCTGGCACACAACGAGGGCGCAATACATAGCAATACATTGTGTCCTTGGTTGTTTTTGGAAAAGCCACACATGCCCACAGCAGAAACCCCAACAGTCTAAAATGTTAAGCCTCCTTTCATGTCCCTGACTCCTTGTTCCTGTCCCCAAAGGCAACCATTGTTAGGGATTATTTGCGTACCTTCTAGGGACATTTGATGCACACAAGCAGATGGGCTTTACAAAAACGCAATTCACAAACGGTGGCATCTAACAGACTCCTGCTTATCACCGAATCCTGAGCACCCGCACCCGGAGCGCTACCGCATTTTTCATCTCGGAGCCTAACACTGCACTCCTGAGACCCACAAGCTATGGCTCCTGGGACAAAGCTGGTCCGCCCTCTGGTTTTGTAAATAAAGTTTTATTGGAACACATCAATGCCCATTTACTTACAGGCGATCTTTGGCTCCTTTCAGGCTGTAAGGGCGGAGTTACTCCTAGAGAGACCTCATGGTCCATGCAGCCTAACTACTTCCTCATCCTTTACAGAGAATGTTTGCTGACCTCTGCTCTACTGTATGGATGTAGCCTAATTTATTTCATCCGCTCTGTACTGATGGGCATTTAGATTATTTCCTGATTCTCCTTTGTGCACGTGTCCCTGCCCATTTACATGTATGTTTATCTGTAAGAGAAATTCCTAGAAGTGGAAAATTCTGCTTCAGACAGTGTATGCAATTTTAATGGGTACTATTTTAAGAGCTTGTATCATTCTATACTCTCCCAGACAGCAGAGGAGACTGCTGTTTCCCCACACCCGGCTGCCACGCGTGTTATCGAACTTTTGCATCTCTCATTCAGATAAGTAGAACATGAGACGCCTGTAGTCTTGTTTCGCCCGCCTTCAGTTCCAAGTGAGACTGTATCACCTTTCTTATGTTTAAAAGCCATCTACATTTCCCCGCTCACCACGGCCTCTCCTTAGCCTCATGCTTTCCAGCTGCCCTTGGCTTCCCCCTGTGTCCAGCCCGCTACTGGCCTCCTCTGCTCTCCAGGGCTCCGGGGTCCCACTACTGGCACAGGTCCAACGGGTCCAGCCTGACCCGGGACCCCAAACCCCAGGGGCAGACCCTGTGACAATGGCATTCTAAGAAACATGAACAACCAAGGGGCCTACCTACTCTTCCTTTCTTCCCTGTGCCAGCCAACCACTTACACCGCTGAGAAGGAGGACCTCGGAGGGGAGGGAAGGACGGGGCTGCCCGCAGTCCCTTGTCCTTTCAGTCCTTCCTGTTCACCAGTTACCAAGATGTGTGTTTGTAGAACGTGAATGTTATCAGGAAGGGAAATAAAAACAGTAGATTTAGTTTTGTGCAGTGTTTCTGCTGGTCTTTTAAGAATGAAATACATATGCATGAAGCATTAAATGCTCTTACTTTGTATTTAAAAGATGAAGAGCCCTGGCTGGTGTGGCTCAGTGGACTGAGTGCCAGCTTGTGAACTGAAGGGTCTCCAGGTTGATTCCCAGTCAGGGCACATGCCTGGGCCGTGGGCCAGGTCCCCAGTAGGGGGTGCTCGAGAGGCAACTGCACATTGATGTTTCTCTCCCTCTCTCCCTCCCTTCCCGACTCTAAAAATAAATAAATAAAATCTTTATTAAAAAAATAAGGTCATATCACTTTTCTGTGCAAAGCCCTTCACCAGTTTCCTATCACACTTTGAGGAAAATATGAAATCCTTCCTTGACCTATGAGGACACATACAATCTAGGCTCTGGCTGCTGTGTGGCCTTGTCTTCTACCATGGTTCTAGCTCAGGGGTTTGTTGCTGTTTTTCAAAAGCATGCAACCTGCCATGACAACTGAAAAACTATATACTTTCTACCATATAAAAAACTTAACTCAAAATAAATCAACAACCAAATATAAGAGCTAAAACCATAAGCTGTAGAAGAAAACATGGGCTTAATCGTCATGACCTTGGACTTAGCAATGGATTCTTAGATATGTCACCAAAAGCACAAATAACAACAACAACAACAACAACAACAACAACAAAAACAACGATAATCTGGACTTTATCAAAACTAAAAACTTTGGTGCATCAAAAAATATTATCGTAAAGTGAAAAGACAACCTATAGAATGAGAAAATATTTGTAAGTCATGTATCTGATGAGGGTCTAGTATTCAAAATATATGAACTCTTACAACTCAACAACAAAGACAAAGCAATTAAAAATGGGAAAAGGAGCTGAATAGACAGGTCTCCCAAAAATATGCAACAGTAAGACTCTACTTCATACCCACTAGGATGTCTATAATCAAAACCCAGAATACAACAAGTGCTGCTGAGAATGCAGACGCCGAGCACGACTGCTCAGAGTGTGACATGGCTCAGCCACTGTGGAAAAAAGTCGGGCAGTTCCTTGGTAACATAGACACAAAGTTACCTTATGACTCAGCAATTCCACTCATAGGTATACCCCAAAGCATCGAAAGCTAGTACTCAAACAAATACTTGTATACACATGTTCAGAGCAGCATTATTCACAATACCAATAGGTGAAAACAATCCAGATGTCCAATCACAGATGATTGGATAGACAAATTGTGTTCTAACCACACAATGAGTATTATTCAGCGATAAAAAAGAAATAGTACTGATACAGGCAACATGGATGAACCTTGAAAACAGCATGCTAAATGAAAGAAGCCAGTCTCAGAAGGCTATAATAATGTATGATTCCATTTGTATGAAATAATCTAAAACAGGAAAATCCATGGAGACAGAAAAGATTGATGGCTGGCAGAGGCTAGGGAAAGGGAGAATGGGAAATGACTAGGATTTCTTTTTGGGGTGATGAAATGTTCTGGAACTAGACAGAGGTGGTAGTTGCATAATACCATGAGTGTACTCAATGCCACTAAATTGTATAATTTCTTTGCTTTGAGTGCTCTCTCCCAGAGCTCTGCATGGCTTGTCCCCCATGTTCAGGTCCCTGCTCATAAGTCATCTCCTGAGAGGCCTTCCCTGACGCCCTTATTTAAAATGTCGCTGCTCCCCATCCCTCCGCACACAACAGCAAATTCTTGCTCACCTGTCAAGTCCAAGTTTGCTGGCTACCCCCAGCCCTAGATAGAAGTGGATTAGCCACTTCCTCTTCCTCTTCTTATGGCCCTTTACAGGGCAAAGTCTGTCTGCTTGGCTAGGCTACAGTTCCTCAACGATGGACCAGGTCAGTGTTCCCAAAGGACTCGCCTGGCATCCCATTCTCAGGTGCTGGGTGACAGCCTGCTGTTTTAAGTGAAGATGGTTCAATCCCTCAGAAAGAAGCGACTGTGTTGTTGTATAAGCGGGTGTTCCAGTTCCATAGGACAAAGCCATGCTTTTCCCCTAACGGAGAGAGCGTGGCCGCAGTGTTAACTACCCTGGTTCCCTGCCCAGCAGGCCGGGAGCAGCCAGGACGACAGGGAAATCCGAGCCTCACCTGGAGCTCCCAAAAGATGCTGCGCGTGTGCCGGTGGTAGTAGTGTCTCAAGGGGATGTATTCCAGGCCCTCTCGGTTTGTCTTCAGGTAGTTCTCCACGTGCTTGAAGAACCACGGCTTGTAGTAATTGCCAATGCTATTCAGCTGAAATGACAGAAGGCATTGTGTCAGCCTACAGACAAGCACCAAATGCCATCAGGGCGTAACAATGATACCCGGCTTCTGTTCAGCACTCCTGGCCTTTTCAAAGCTCTTTCATGTCTATTATCACCTTTGAGATCCTTGAAAGCCTGGTGAGGGTAAGCGCAGCGGGGATTCTCTAGCAGAGCCAGAAGCTCAAAGAAGTTAAGTGCTGTGCTTAGGGCCAAACAGCTAGTTTCTGACAGTCTAGAGGGCTCAGTGACCCTGAGCTAGTCTGTGGCTCCTTCTCAGTGAGAAAATCAAAGGGCAAATGTTTACCAGCATCTGTCACAATGCAGTGCCCCAGCAGGCACATTTCTCCCTCCTTCCCTTCCACTAGGCTGGTGACAGCACAAACACGGAGCACGGGTCATCTCTTCCTCGCCGCGTCCCATGGCCAATAGCACTGATTAACCACGGCACTTTCCTGGCCACTGGACACCAAGTCCCACAATCCTGAGCATGGCGCTCACCACCTGCAGCCGCCACCAATGGAGGAAGCTCACAGAGTAACCCTCGCGCTTCTCTAGCCCTGGGCCTTGCGGCCCCCGCTGCCTAAATTTCCTGTTTAGCTGATGTTTTCTTCAGCCCTAGGATGACTTAGCTTCTCTGGACCCCAGCCTTTTCTCCCGTGAGATGAATTCTGGGCAGATGCTTTTGGAGGGAGGTGGGGCAGCAGCCCTGAAGGAGCCCCGGCTCCAGAGTTGGGCGGCCGGGGCCAAACCCTGGCCCAGTCACCCACTAGCCCTGCGACCTTGGGCAGGTCACTCTCTCAGGGTGTTTCTTCACATGTAAAATGGTATTAAAAACACACGCTCCGTGGAAGTTGTTTTGGTGCCTATGGAAACGATACACACACACGCACACATACTGCAGATGCTCAGGCCCCACATGGGCCGGCTTCCCTGGGGGGCGGGAGGGGCAGAGAGTTCTATGGGCAGGTAAGAGCACACCCAGCTGGTGGGCTCGGCAAAGGGTTAGGAAGTAGAGAAGGAGGCCGCTTAGGAGAGGGAGAATGTGGCCAGGGGAGCAACAGGGAGGGAAAGGCAGGAGCAGAGCAGCCGGTGGAGAATAATCACTGTGTGCCGAGCACCGTGATCTAGGCAGCATCACCGGCACCTAATGAGTGTGTCCCTTATCCCTGCCACGACCTCGCAGGGTGGGGGCTGTCCCTATTTCAGGGATGAGACTGAGAACCATCAAGGTTGAACAGATCACCTGAGGCCAGAAGGCTGGCGAGAAGCAGCGCAAGGACGCACCCTATGTTGCACCACAAGGCCAGGGCAAGAACCTTGAATGGTGGGCTCTGGAATGTGGGCATTGTCATAACAAAACACAAAAGCTATTCATTTCTTTCGTGATTCTAAAAGCAATGTACACCGTGTGAAAACTTTAAACACTGCAGGAATACATAACTTGGAAAGAGACGCCTCTGGAGCTTCACCCTCAGCCCTGTAGCCTACTAAATCTAATGTGTATGCATTAGGCTTTATTTCCTGTGCACACACACTCACAGATTTATAAAACTGGACAATCCGGTGCACACGCTTTCACTTCTAACACCCTCAGATGGCCCTGGGTAGGTCAGCCTCTCCTCTCTGAGCCTCATCTTCTGTGCAGGCAAACTAGAGACCCTACTACCTCCTGGAGTGGTTGGAAGATGAAATGGAATGTAGAAAGTGCCATGCAAGGTGACTGCCCACAGTGGGGGCAGGGTATTCAGTCCCCGGTCCCCATTGGCCTTCCACCTCCCTGCACCCCCTTGCCAACCCGCTTCACCCTGGAGCCGGCCAACTCTTTGGGTGGTTGATTATCTAGATGTCGCCCTCTTGTGCAGGCCGCTCTGTGGGGCGGAAACCCAGGACCACTGTGTACCAGGAAATTGGGTTACAGAGTCTGTTTGTCCAAGTCCATTTCTGAGAGGACAGTGTGGGGCGGGACAAAAGACACCTTGCGCTGGCCCCTGCCTGCTGAGGTACAGGGGACTGAGCCCAAAACGGACACAGCAACCTGATCTAACCCCAGGTGGGGCCTGGCCATGCACCTACCAGTGGCACCAGCTGCAGAGTGGAACTGAGGCTTGGGGGTGCCTGTAGACAGGTGTTCCTGGGGCTTGGGGACTGACTCGTCAGCAACCTTTTGTGCTGGAGAGGCCCAGGACATGATGAAAAACCCAGATTGTTCGCCTCTCCCCGGGCACACAGCCGGGGCTGCCAGGTGGCTGGGTGAGTCCCATCCCAGCCCAGGCACTTAGGTCACAAGCCGCCCTGTCTCTGGGCCTCTCTGGGAAGGGGAGGTGGGCCGCCTCCTCCCAGGGCCGTGGCGAGACCAGGGCCCAGGGCCTGCAGAGGCCGTGTCGCGGTGTCTGGTGAGGAGGGGCAAATTCCTGAGCAGCTTCCCAAACAGGAGCAGATGGAAGAAACGTTCCTCAAAGGAAATGTCCGCACATATAAAGGCGTCTATTGCTCTCCTCCCCCAGCCCTGTTCCCACTGGGCATCAGGATCTTGCTTATTGGGACAGTTTGCCAAAGGCTGTGGCCTGGGGCCCCAGCCCCTCTGCCAATGACACTGGACAAGCCTCTGGATAAGGTCTTGGTCTTCTCCTTGGGAAAAAGGGTCAGGGTGTTCAAATATTTTAAAAGCTGTTCAAATTCCTCCGTCCAATTGTAAGCTTAGGTGGCATCTAACACACCAAACAGGTGACAGAGCAGTTGGTCCAGTTGGGACAGTGATTCCCCTTGGCCTCTCCCTCAGTATCACCACTGGCGGCCTGGATGCTTCAGACCTGCTGGAAAAGCTCTGAATGAGACGTCCTTGGCAGGTGGCTGGGTGACGACACATGCTGACTGCGCTCGGCCCAGGTCGGGCGGAGCCAGGGCCCCGGGAGCGTCAGGGCACTTGTCTCAGTGCCTGGTGTTTCGACTCCTGGTCCTGGATCCCCCCCTCCCATGCTCACCAGTGTCCCACAAGGAATTGTGCCCAATCAATATTGGCGTATGGTGCTAAATTCTAGAAGCTGATACGGAGGAGAAGAAACACTGACCCAAATTAGCACCTGCCCCGTGCTGGCCGTGTGTCCTCAGGAGGCTCGTCCCCTCTAGGCCTCGTTTCCCTACTCGAAGGAGGAACTGTATCAGGTGATTTTCGAGTCCTTTCTGATTTTAAAATGTTTTAAGTATGTAGGTATCGATGAAACACCTTAAGAGTCCCTTGATCTACTGTACTAATTCTACTTTAAGGCAGTGTTTAAATTACAAACAAAAGATGTTCATTGCAACATTAATTTAAATAGTGAAAAACTGGAAGCAACTTAAACTTGCAACTATGGGGCAGGGGTTTAGTAAACAACAGGGCATTCACTAAAGGCAATGTTCTGCAGCCCTGAGGTATGACAGTTTTGAAGACAATGCAAAAACATGGGGAGAGGCTTATGACATTAGGCAAGAAAAACAAATTTGAACAGGTGATCACAGCCAAAGATAGACAAAACAAAGAACCGTGCAGAGAGGTTTCTCACAAGTGACCTGAGGGCTGCAAAAGAGAGCGAGATACTATTTTTAACCCTATCAGATTGGCAAAATGAAAAAGCGATGCTATCGAGCGCTGGCAACAATGGAGGGGAAAAGCATTGTCACACACTGCTGCTGGAGGAGGACAGAGTACGGGTTTTCTGCAGAGCTGTTTGGTCGCAGCTATCGACAGCTATTGGAGCTTAACATGCTCAAACTCTGGGGTCAGGAAATCCGCTTTTTGGACTCGATCCTACAGAAATGCTTGCCCAAGAGGCAAAGGTTAAATGTAAGAGAATATTCATTGCAGCTCTACCTCTAAGAACAAAACATTTTAAGCAATATAAATACTCATCGGTAAGCAGTGAGTGAGGCCAATTATTTCCATGCAACAATGGGATTCTATGGAATGAAACGAGGGCGTGAACACACACACAGGGATAGGCCTTGAAGAACACACACCCGAACTATTACAAGTGGTCGTATATCTGGGGGTAAAGAGACACATTTTAACTTTTTCTTTATATATTTCAACATTGTTTTGCTACTATTTTTGTAGTTTAAAAACTTAAAAAAAATCTATGCATCAAAAAGCATAAGAAATAAAGATATCAAACACGTTAGCAACAGCTGGCTTTGGGTCATGTTTATAGGTAGAGTCTTTTTCTTCCTATTATTGCTTATGCTTTCAAAGTCTCTCATAATAAAACCCATAAAAACTCTCATAAAAACTGCTATTAAAAATTATAGAGTATATTGAAAAAGTGTCCATCTATATTCTGCAGCATCAAATCAATTACTCAAATTTTGGCTTTGTCATCCTGTGGCACTTTATATGACCTCTTGGAACTCAGTTTCCTCATCTATAAAATGGCATTGCTGTGAGGATCAAATATCACACCTATCAAGAGACACGCACATACCTAGCAGGTGGTAGGAAAAGAGGAAATGGAAGATTTTGTCACTGCTTAAAACAGCTGACTAAGGACCCTGCTGCCCAGACCCTAGGTGAGCCGACCCAGGCTGCAGCCTTGAAGAGGGCGGCTGTCAGGGTCGGGGTGGGGCGGCAGGCTCCGTCCCAGCCCACTCAGGCCTTGCTCCCTGCCCCGGCCCGACCCGCTGCCAGGCCTCGGTCTGCAGCAGCTGACGCCCCGGCCTACCTTGCTGGGCTCCAGCTGGTCTGTCATGACCCCCGTCATGATGACGGCCTCATCCAGGGAGTAGAGCAGCCCTTCCACAAAGTGGTTCTCCTGCCGCTGGGACTCCTGCTTGAACCTGTCACAGATCGCCTCTAGGCCCCGCACTGGCTCAAACCGCAGCTTGACATACTTCTTGGCCGGGATGATGCGAATCTCAGCAGCCACCAGGAAGCCCAGGGTCCCACACGACCAGGGCACAGCGTAGAACAGGTCTGAGTTTTCCGACTGTGAAGCAGAGTCAACACATGCTGAGAACTTGAACCCTGGGTCCCATATTGCAACATGTTGTCAACTGGGGTGCAAAGAACCCGGGACCTGAACTAAATTCCTGTTCTGTCGCCATTTTGTGTAAACCTCACAAGGCATTTCACAAACTGTGCTTTCTGGCCTGTTTCCCTCTGCAGCTTCTGCATGACATGTGACCTTACATCCGTGCTCCGGAGACGGCCTCCTCCTCGCCCTGCTGCCCCTGGCACGGCCCCCAGACCACAGGCTACCCAGGGCAAGGTCATGACCAGCACTGCCTGAAGACCCAAAACGGAGGGCTGAGGGCCAGCCCAGGCCAGGCTAAACAACACGTTGAATGCTCATTGCGGGCCACGGACACGAGGAGACATTACAACGCCTCCCTTCTGGGCCATTACCCATGTTTCCAAAGCCTTTCCCTGTCCATTAGCTGTGGAACTGTTACTGGGGGGAGACCAAGTCCGGGGACACCCCCCTCTTGTTCCTCAGTTCTTTTCTTGTTTACAAGAGATGAATTCAAACGAGAGACAAAAATGTATAGTAGAAACGATAGCAAGCCTGTTTATGAAACACCTATGAGCACAAAGCTACAAGCAGGCAGCTGGCTAGTCTGAATGCCCCGCATACAGAGGAAATAAAGTTGTTAATAAGTTTGTTTTATACACTTGAGCTGAGACTGCAAGTGGGCACTCAGCTAATCTGAGTGTGCCAACTACTGGGGTTAGGGGTTATATACCTTAATCAGCTTCTAGGTTCCCCTTCCTTCTTCCCCCTTTAAATCTTGCGAGTAATATGCAGCTACAAAGACTTTCTTCCTCAGCTAGTAAAGGCTTTTTGTCTCAGTGAACTTGCTACAGAGGCTCCCTTTCCCAGCACACAGTCTCAAGGACTCCCCTCCTTCTGTGCTACCCCTGCTTGTGATGTTCAGAGGCCTGGCAATCTTATCTGACCCGGCTCAGGACTGCTGAGTAGTGGGTGAGACGTGTCTCCTTCCTCCTCCCCGCCTTACCTTACTTTACCTTACCTTACCTATCCTACCTAACAGAATCCCCCCCACAGCCTAGGGAGAGCACTAACACTGCCAGTCAGACAGGTAAGGAAAAGGAAGTGCCCAGAGGTGCGCGCCTCGCCCAGGTCTCCCCACAGCGAGCGCCATGATGCTGGGGCTCAGGCAAGATCACCCAACTCCCGATCCAGTGTTCTGCCTGCAAAGCCTCATCTGCTTCCCAAAATCTGCTCTAACTTCATCATTTTCTTGTTTTGGTAATTGTCTCAGATACAGACAACCGACTTTTCATCTCACCATTCCAATTCTGATTCTTTGATTCCAATAAAGCGCCTTTTGAAAAAGTCCAGCCTTGCCTGGGCTTTCCCCAGAGGACCGCTGAGTGGCCTCTGCTGCCCTCGGCCAGCGGGGCAGGGGCTGGCGCAGGGAAGCTCTGCAGCAGGCTGGCCGGAGCCTCTGGAGCAGCCGAAGCAGGCAAGGGGTTCCCATCCGGGCCGCCCGCAACCCCACCGCCAGGTCACAGCGGTACCAACCAGGCGTCTGCCGCGGGCCCAGCTCCAAGCTAGGAGCTTCCCATGTGGCATCTACTTTCTCCTCCTGACAATGCACCTGTCACCTAGGACACTGGGCCGCAGAGGACGTAAGTCATTCATGAATGTTTGTCTCCCTTTGCTGGTAATAAACAGGTTGGAAGGCAGGGCCCTCCCTGTTTAGGAAAATGGGCGAAACTGGTATGAAAGGGGTCACTCTTGTCCAAGACCTGGGCTCCCAAGCCAGGGGTCCCACCCTGGACTCTCCCGTGCAGCCAGTGACCGCGGTGGCTCTCTGAGACACCCGCTTCTGAAGGCTCGCACTGTCACCCCCATCCCAGGGGCCCCCAGACATGCTCGGGGCCACCTGACTTTCTCTAAAGTTTCAATCCTGCCCTACTCCTTGGGATAAATGTCTTAAATGTCTATGTCCCACTTTGGGCAATAGAATTTCTTTTATTTCTCCAAAACAGCCTCTCTTACCACTTTTAGTTACCCCTTGCACCACCTGGCATAGAGCTTTGATACTGAGGCCTGACTTCCACTGCACAGGAAGTAAAGTGTAATGAACGGCTAAGGACATGGATCTGGGGGCCTGGTAACCTGGACGGGAATCCCAGCTGTGTGGCATTTAGTAGCTCTGTGACCTTGGGTAAGCTTATTAACCTCTCCATACTTTAGTTTCCTATCTGTAAAACATGGCTAATAGTCCTTACCTCATAAAGTTGTTGAAGGATTAAAAGCCTTACTGTATGTAAAGCATTTAAACAGTGTCTGAGCACGTAAAGGGGCCTTATAAATCTTTATTGTTGTTATGAACACAGACCCAGGCTGAACAGGTGTATTTGCAGTAAAGCAACCCCAAGGTGCCACTTGCCCAACGCCAGGGTCCTTGATGCCCGAGGCAGGCAGGTGGGGACACCCCGACTTTCTGCACTCACCGGTGTGCACCGCACAAAGCTGCCATCGGCCAGGACCAGCTCGTAGGCAGTGCAGATGTGCTGGAACAGGCCGTACTTGTGGGACGATGACTCGATGCCTGTGCCCATGATCAAGCCCCCTGCAGAGACACACGTGTGAGCCAGGAGGAGCTGTAGGGGGTGTCTGTGTGTGGCAGAGGGGATCAGGTAAAGGACACGTCACTGGAGCTGGGGTGCTCATGGCACAGGGGTGATAGGATAGGGCTGGCAGACACGGGCTGTCCACTTAGGGGCGACCTCCCATCTCTGTGGATCAGGAGAGCAGGAGCGCAGGGAGGGCTTGGATGGAAGCGCGAGGGCTTGCTCAGAGGCAGGGGATGGGGAACGGACCCTGCCCAGGGCTCTCCCGCTCTCATCTCTGGCCAGGCCCTGCCTTCAAACATGTATGCATTCATTTTCAGAGAGACCTTAATGACAAGGGGGGCTGTTTGGGTGGCAGGAAGCTGTGCCCCATGGGAAGAGTTAAAGGAACTGAAGGTGCTTCCCCTGGAGAAGAGAAGGCTTTGGGGACCACGAGTCTTCCAGAAGGAAAGAGAGACTAGACTTATTCCACGTGCTCCACAGGGCAGAACTGGAGCCACGGATGTGCCTCAGGGAAGCAGATTTAAGCCAGAGAGTAAAAAGTGCTATTTGACAATTTGAGCCGTTCAGAAACGAAATGGCCAGCAGGGAGCTCCCTGTCTTTGGAACTGCGGGGACTTCTGTTATAGATGGAAAGTGGTGACTCCTGTGCTGGAGGGAAGGTGGGCCAAGGTGCCCCAGCTCTGATGCTAAGGCCGCCTGAGTCCTCACCCACAGTGAGGTCATCGAGCTCGGGCAGCACAGGCAGGGTCCAGCCAATGGAGGTCAGCAGGGCAGTCACCTGACCCATGGTCACCAAGGGCTCCACACGGACAATCTGTTGACGTAAGAAGAGAAACGCTGAGTCACAAGGAGGCTGCGGGGGGGCCTAATGGGGCCATCTGCATGCAGGTGTCCTTCACACCTTCCCAAACAAACATTGCAGAGGTTCCTACTCAGCCTTTGGTCTCTTTCCAGAACATTACAGTAGTTTTCCCTCTAGTGAATGGGGTTTCTGAATCTGGATTTGCTACTGTTTAATCTTGTCCTTGCAAATATCTTTACAATTAATACTTAGTTTATTATTCTTCTAGGTTATAGAAAAAGTAATCCTTTATTTGGAAGAAAGAGCATATATGAAGAAAATAAAAGTCATCTGTATCAGCGTTAATACTGGAGTGTATTTACTTTCAGTCTTTTTCCATGCATGTCTATGTTGCTATTTTGTATGTTTTAATGCAATGCATACACATACACATACAGACATACACTTTCTTGTCTTGCCCTTAAAATTTAACACAATACTGTAATTTTTGTCCTTTGTTATTAAATACTCTTGGAAAATATTATTTTTAATGGACACATTAATATGCTATCATGTAGACTTCTGCTTCCAGCCAAGATGGAAGAAAAGGGACCAGATTTACCTTATTGCCGGAAAACCAAAAACAGACAAAATACATAAAACAAAGTTTTTCAACAAAGTGGACACCAGGCAAGGAAGTCAGTGATCGTTGAGTGACAAGAAACCAAACAAGAGGAGCTCTGTGACTGCCCCAGCTAACTGCCGGGAGTTAGGCAGTGCCGGGCCACGGACTCAAGGGGACTCTGAGCTGAGGGCCCCAGAAGACTGATGTGAACCGAATCTGCAGGACGGAGTACTGAAGAACAAATTGTACAGAGAGAAAACTGAGGAGCTGCAAAGGGTGCCCACTGAGTATTCAACTGAGTACAGATCGGTGCATAATCAGGAGGAAATTCCTGGAGGCTGAGGCCAGGGAAAGAGCCACCAGAAAGGATAACAGGTAACAGTGCAGAGCACAGTATCTGTTCTCACGAGCCAGCCTGGAAACCTCATACTTCACAGGGCACTGGGTACAGTACTCAGAATGTACTCAGTTCCTCTTGCCTCACGGAGTGGAAGAGCTATCCCTAGATTTAAATGCTGCTCTGGTCCCACCTGAAAAATCAAGTCCCAACAGTATCTAACTATTTCCAAGTAACTTAGCTATATCCCAGAACTAAGCTTAAGAAGATCTGCAGGGATACAGAAATAGCCAGTAGCCAACGAAGTAAAACTCACACTGTCTAAAATCCAATCAAAGTTTACTAGACATGCAAAGGGGCAGACAAATTCAACCCACAATGAGGTGAAAATTCAATTAATCTGTTTATTAAAATTAGCAAACAAGGGCATTAAAATAATTATTGCTGTATTCCTAATGCTCAAAAGTTAAGTAGACACACTAAAAAAATAGTAACAAACCCATATCAAACTTCTAGAAATAAAACCACGTCTGACAGCAAATTAGACATTGCAGAAGAAAAAAGTAGTAAACTTACTAATACACAGCAAGAGAAACTACCCACAATGAAAAACACTCAAGCCAAGAAAAATTAAAATCAACAGTATATCAGAGTGAGCTGAGTAGGGGAATATCTTTAAGTGGCCTCCATATATACGTGATGGCACTCCTCACAGCGGAGAAGGTAGTGGACAGAAAAAATATTTGAAGAAATAAAGATCCCCGAAGTTCCAAATTTGATGAAAATTATAATAAAAAACCCAAGCAAGGGAATTATGAAGAAAACTATACCAGGGCACATAATTAAACTGCTCAAAACTAGTGACACTGAGAAAGTCTTAAGAACAGGCAGAGGAAGAAAAGATGTGAGAGAGGAACAAAGATAAGGATAAGAGAGTTCTTGTTGGAAACCATGTAAGCAAGATGACAGTGAAGCATCTTTAAAAGTCTACCTGGAATTATATACCCAGTGAAAATATCTTTCTTTCAAGAAATGAAGGCAATTGCAGCCCTGAATGGTGTGGCTCAGCTAGGTGGAGCACAGTCCTGTAAACCAGAAGGCCACGGGTCCAATTCTGGTCAGGGCACACGCCTGGGTTGCGGGTTCCGTCCTCAGTCGGGGCATGTGGGAAAGGCAACCAATTGATGTTTCTCTTTCTCTCTCTCTCCCTCCTTTCCCCTCTCTCTAAACTCAATAAACATGTCCTTGGGTGAGGATTGAAAGAGAAAAAAGAAGGCAACTGTACAACCATTAGGATGGCTCCTATAAAAAGAAAAACAGGAAATAACAAGTGTTGGTGAGGATGTGAAGAAACTGAAACCCTTGCATACTGCTGGTGGGGACGTAAAATGGTATAGCTACTGTGGAAAACAATATGGCAATTCTTCAAAAAATTAAACACAGAATTACCATGTAACCCAGCAATTCTACTTCTGGATATATACACCAAAGAATTAAAATCAGGGTCTTGAAAAGACATTTGTATATCCATGCTCATAGCACCATTATTCATAATGGCTAAAACGTGGAAGCAACCAAGTGTCCAACGATAAATGAATGGAGAAGTAAAATGTGATATATACATACAATAGAATATTATTCAGCCTTAAAAAAGACTGGAATTCTGACATATGCTATAACATGGATGAACCTTGAGGATATTATGCTAAGTGAAATAAGCCAGTCACACAAAGGCAAATACTGTATGATTTCACTTACATGAGGTACTCAGAGAGACAGAAAGTAGAACAGCGGTTGCCAGGGGCTGGCAGGAAGGGGAGAATAGGGAGTTACTGTTTTCAGCTTGTTTTGCAAGATGGAAAGACTTATGGGAATGGATGGTGGTGATGGCTACATAACCTTATGAATATACGCACACTTAATACCACTGAACGTACACTTAAACATGGTTAAGACTGTACATTTTATGTCATGTATGCATTACCACAGTAAAACCTGGAAAAGAAATGAAGGTAAAATAAATGTTTTTGGATATACAATGGCTGAAAGATTCATTACCAGCAAGATCACCATATAAGAATGTTAAAGGAGGCCCTTCAGGCAGAAGGAAAATAAAAACAGATGGAAATATGAATCTATACAATGGAATGAAGGCATGGCAACTATATGGATAAGTACATAAGATTTTTTTCTTATTTAAATTTATTTAAAGGATAGCTATTAAAAAGTAATAATGTAGTGTGGGCTTTATAGCATACATAAAAGTATGTCAATAATAGCACAGAAGTCAGGAGAGAAATGGAAGTATATATATTACTATAAAATTCTTATACTATACCTAAAATAGGATGACACTTGAAGGTAGAGTGTGATAAGTAAAACGTACCCTAGAAATCTTAAAACTGCTGCTAAAATAACAAAACAGAGACTTATAGTTTAAAATCTAACAAAAGAGCTAAAATAGAATCATAAAGATTACTTGGTAATCCACCTGAAACTAATACAATATAACACTGAATGTAAACTGTAATTGAAAAAAAAATTTAAAAAATATTAGTTGAAAACAACAACAAAAAGAAAGAGAATATTCAACAAACACCATTCTGTCTTCAAAAAAAATTATTCAGTAATCCAAAAGAAGATAGGAAAAAATAAAAAAAGAAAAAGGGAACAAAGAACAAATGGGGGGAAAAAAAAAAAGAAAACAAAGAACAAGGTGACAGAGCTAAGCCAAACTTTATCAATAATAGCATTAAATGGAAATGGTCTTACCATGTCAATGAAAAGGCAGAGATTGTCAGATTGGATAAAAAAGCAGGAGTTAACTAAATGCTGCCTACAAGAAACTCATCTTCAAAATATATAAAAAAAATTAAAAAGATGGGAAAGATACACCATATTATCACAAGTCAAATAAAAAAGCTGGAACGACTTTATTAATATCAGACAAAATATATTTCAGAGCAAAGAATGTAACTCGGAATAAAACAGTTCATTTTGTAATTATAAAGTTTCAATTAATCAAAAGGACATAAAATTCATAAACATATATCTAATAAGAGCTTCAATATACATGAAGCAAAAACTGATGGAACTGCAACAGATACAAGTAAATCTACAATCACAGGCAGAGATTTCAATAGCCTTATTTCAATAACTGAAAAAGTAAGTAGAGAGAAAATTTTTGAGGATATAGACTTCAACAACACTTTCAACCACTTTGACCTAATTGACATTTATAGTATACACCACCCCAAAACAGCAGAATACACATTTTTTAAAAATGTGCATGAAGTATATGATTGTCTAACCACTAGGCTGCACACCTGAAACTAATACAAGATAATATTGAATGTAACCTACATAAATAAGTAAATAAATAAATACTTAAAAGAAACAAAAGAAAAAACGTGCATGAAACATACACCAAAATAGACCATATTCTGAGCCACCAAGTAAATTTCAATAAATTGAAAAATTTCCTGTGAGGTGGGGCTATGACTAAGCTCCTTCAAAGCTGAGGCTTCGGAGGATAGCAGCGGTGAACAGAGCCTTCTGTGATGGCCAGAGTCCTCAATCCTGTCCACTCTGGGGCAGCCTTGGCTGAAATCATCTCCCCGCAAGTCACTTGCTGCAGGAGCAGTGCCCCGCCCACTCCCAGAGCCAGGGAACCATGCCTCTCTCACCTGTTTCTTGGTGTCCACCTCCAGAATGTCCATCAGGTTGATCATGATGTTTTTGTGTGTCTTCTTGTACTTCCCAACTCGGAGTGAGACGGTGAGCCAGCCGGGGCGCCCTGTGCACATGAAGGTCTTGCTGCCTTGCTCCTTCCATTCTCGTACCTGCAACCATTGGACAGAGGCTGGGTTAGCCCCACCTGGATCCCCAGAGCAGCTTGCAGCCCTGCTTTCAGGAGAGGGAGCTGGGAAGGATACCTTCACTTGTCAGCAAGAATTTACTGAGCCCTTGCCTCCTTCTGGGCACTGGAAGGCCCACTGGCCTCACCCTCTGGAATCTCTTTGGCTAGTGAGGCTTAGAGAAAAGCTGGGGTGTTGCCGCACCACAAAGCAGAGTGAAGAGAGAGCTAAAATACAGGATCAGAATGCTCTGAGAACATTAAGTCTAACTGGGAAGGTCAGGGAAGATTTTGTAACGGTAATAGGAGCAACCATATAAATGATAACCATTTATTAGATGCTTGCGCTGTGCCGGGCACTGTCTCGTTTAATTCTCACAACAACCCCAGGAGGTTGGGATGGTCTCCTTTTCCAGATGAGAAAACTGAAGCAGAATAACTTGCCCAAGGTCATACAACCAATGAAGGCCAGAGCCCAGATCCGCCACCAGGACTATCAGACTTCTGGAAGGACAGAAGGGTTTGTATGTAGTCAAGAGAGTAACAGCTAACATGCACAGAGGGGTGTTATGTGCCAAGCCCTGTTCTAAGCATTTGCATGTGTTAACTCTTGTATCACTTGTAGGGTAGAGAAGGAGCAGGGAAGGACCACCAAACCAATGAAAGGAAAAGCTTTTGCAAAACCTCTACTGTAAGTGACCAGAGCACAAAACACAGAGAACAGATGGCGCAGAAGATGACAAGCCATCAAGAACATGGGAGGAAGTGCTTCCTTCCTGCTGAGGTGGACAAAGGCAGGGAGGTGGCTATCTGTTACTATAACCTGTGACCACCCACTTCCTCTTTATCTGCTTCTAATGCTCCCATCTTCCTTGGTTCCAGGCGATGCTGCTTCTCCCCCAGCCCCAGGAGGTGTGCATATGACTTGAGGTCTGAGTCTATCCTCCTGGCCGTAGTGACTGGTTCTTGGATGGGGCCTACCATCCAAGTCAAGCCAATAAGACTGGTTCCAGGAGAGGCACTGTCGCTGTACTGGGGCTGCTAAGCTGGTTGGATGTAAACCAGAAACTGCTGGAGCCTCCACAGGGAGACTGCCTCCCCGAGAACGAAGTCAACCCAGAGGGAAGCAGAGCCAAGGGATGGCAGGTGGATGGAAAGGTGGAGGTGGCGGGTCCAAATCCAGTCATGCCCGAGCCAGTTTTACTCCCAGACTTTTCAGGACCTGGGTCAACAAAGTCCCTTCTTTTTTTTTTTGGCTCAACAGTTTAAGTTGAGTTTCTATCACTTGCAACCAAGAATCCGGGAAGAGGTTGCATTGAAGCTGGATGGAGCAAACAGCTCAACATGGATAAGAACTTTGCTGTGATCAGAGGCCAGGGTGCCACAGGAAGTAGAGGTGCCTGAACAGGGCGAAATTATTGAGGAAGGGATCCTGTGAATAGTGGTGAAGGCACAGAGGGGGGATTCCCGGACGGAGTAGACCTTGCTCCTGCCCAATTTTGCAGTCCCAGGACATAATCCAAGCTCAGAGGTGTGGGGGTCGGATTGGGGGTGCTACAGTCAAGCTGGAGGGTGGTCACAAGACATGAAGTGAAATGGAAGCCTGAAACATTGGTTGGATTGAAGTCAACCACGATTTGGGCAGGCAGGCAATGCTGTGGAGAGGGGCCCTTGTGACTATGTACAGGCCAAAAGCAGGTGGGGATGGTGGGCAGGACAGGGGCAACTAGTCTGGTAGCTATTACAACATGCCAGGTGTGAGGCAACAGAACCAGACCTACGGGGTGCAATGGAATGGAATGGAATGGAATGGGAAAGAAAAAATGTCAGAGTTCAGCCTCTGAAATCAGCTGACCTACAGTTTGAACCTCAATTTTTCCCACCTTTAGAACATGTATAAGACCTACCAGGGTTGCTCTGAGGATCAGAAATAATACACATCAGTGGCACTGTGTGTGGCCCATGACAGGTCCCGTTGTCTTCTCGTCCACAGTGAACACTGTGGGTCAGTTTAAATAAACAAGAGTTCAGTGGGCTCTTCTGGGCCAGAGAAGAGTTGGACAACAGGCCCTGCCCTCCAGGAGCACACACTCTGATGGGGGCGACAAACATGGAAATGGAGAATCTGACCGCACGGAAAGTGCGATGACAGAGGGTGCGGCTGTGGAGGGAGGGTAGGCAGGGCTCTGCAGCCAGGACTGTGACCAGCAACACCCAGGGCGGCCCAAGTAAAGTACTTGCAGACCCTGTATTCTCCCACCCGGCCCACGACCTTCTCTCTCATGGGAATGAATGCTCTCAGCATCCATCTTCACACTCTTGCTTGCAGCACCCAGCAAGGTGCACAAAGAATATGGAGGCTGCTACACCTGCGGAGAGAGGGGTAGCAGGAAACAGAAGCCCTTTGCAACCAGACTCCAGTAAGAGAGGAACATAAGGAGGGGCAGAAGGAGCCAAGAACCTGTTCAGGCCCAGTGCCCATGTCGGCCCCGGACACAAGGAGGAGGCTTGGCTCTGAGCAGCAGCAGGGCACAGCTCTGTGGGTGCTGACACATGGGAGGATGTACAGAGGTACTGGGAAGTGGACGACTGTCTTGTCCAGGAGTGTGCACCTGGACTAGAGGCTGTCACTTTAGTTCTTTATTTGAAGTGTGTCAAAAGCTCCTTGCCGCTACAGAGTAAACTCTAAACTCCAGGCCCCTCCATAACCTAGCTCCAAACTGACTTTCCAATCTTATCCCCACCTCGGCCTTCGGCTCACACCCTACCTTCCACCCATACACCTCTCCCCAATCATGTCCCCTACTTCTCAGTCTTTAGCCAGCTCCACCTCCCGGAAACCCTCCTTCTGAAATCGCTCGGCCTGGTGATAACTACCCGTTCATTGCCCACCGACCCCCTGTCTTATGATTCTTTATATTCCTCCTGGTATCCGCACGTACTCTGCACATTGTGCGAACTCCCTAAACATCGGAACAATTTTTTGTTCTCTACAAGCTTTTGCTTACCACACTTCCTCACAGGGAAGCCCCCACCAACACATTTCTAAGTTCAAATCCCCCTCGAACGTCACCTACTCCGTGCAGTCTGGGCTCTCCCAGCACCGCACAACACTCCGCGCCTCGCGCCCCGCTGTGCATGCTGACTACCCAATCCCGTGGGCCCGGGGCTCCGACGACCACCTGGGAGAGCTCACCTGTTTCTGGATGTCCCGCACGCGCTGCTCGTGTAGGCGCGGCGCGCTGCTGAGCTTGAACACCACCCAGGCGCGCACGTAGTAGTAGATGTCGAAGATGAGCGAGAGCGGCAGCAGGAAGAGACACACGAACACCCACCGCTGGTGAATGAGCACGAACTCCAGCCCCTTCACGCGGATCCAGAGCAGGAAGAGCAGCGCGCACACGGCCAAAGACACAGCCGGCTCCATGGTGGGGCCGGCAGCGCGCCGCGCGGGGGAGGGAGTGCCGACTCGCGTCGCCTGTCACCGCCACCCGTTCAGTGCCCGCCTGCGCCCGCCAGCTCCAGTTGCCGGCTCCCAGAGAGCCGGGGGTCGCCCCGCTGCCTCACGATTGGCTCGGGTTGCAAAGGTTCGGTGGGCCGAGACCCGGGTGGCGACCAATGGCGAGCCGCGCGGGAGATCGGACCAGGAACCTGCTGCTTTTATTGGCTGCGGGAGTCGGGCCGCTCCACCCTCCTCTCCTCGCCGCCGCACTGGGAGGGGGACCCACACACTGGCGGGGTCGACTGCGCTCTGCCGCGCGGGGTCTCCGGGGGCGCGGGCGGGGGTGACTAGGGCTTCCCGCCCTGAGGACTGCCAGGGCCGCTCCTCAACCTAGGGGCGCGACTGCTTCCTCCTCCCCACATCCATAGGTATAGCCCCTTCGCGAGAGGAGGGTGAAGCGGTCATGAGTCAGGTTGCCTCCGGAGGGGTGGGGTGGGCCCCCCCCCCCACGGTCCTGGGTTAGTCACCCTGCAGCATGGGGATTCCGGACCAGACTAGCAACCTTCCCCCGTTTCCCACTCTGCTGAGAGGGTTGGGGAGAACTGGAAGGGAAAGAATGATGGAGGGAACTCTAGCTACCTTAAACCCTCCAGTGCCCACTCAGTGCCAGGCAGTGTTGCAGGCCGGGGGTAGAGTGGTGAGCAAAGCAGATGGCTCTGCCCTCATGGAGCAGCCAACCCAGAGAAGCGGTGACTGTTTCCGGAAAAAGCCTAAATCCGGTGTCATTTGCATTTCATCCCTTCTGAAATTTTAGGAAGTGTCGGAGATGTTTTATTTTAGAAGCTAAACATAACTTACCAGGCCTGCCAACTGGCGTTACGTACCTACCCACTTTCCTCTTTCATCTTTCCCCTCACATGCACTCTTAGGGGGCTCCCTGGGAAAGGCTTGTTTCAGTGCCTTCCCTCAAGCTGGCCCTCCGGAATGCTCTTTCCAGTCCCCTTCACAGAGCTAGCATTACACATTCTTGAAGCCAGCTCAGGGCCACCCCTAAAATTACAGTTTTGTCACTTCCTTTCCCTCCCAGGTATTGAAAAATAGTGCACCTATGTCATGCATGATTCTTTCACATTTTTTCATAATTGTCTCTTTATGTGTTTCTCACCTTCAAAAACTGAGCTTTAGAGCGATCATTGTGTGATTCACATTTTTATTTCCAGTTTCCAGCATAATGTTTGGTGTATAGAGGATACCCTGGTGTTTGTTTACCAATGAATGAATGAAGAATGTAGGCAGTGGCGCAAATGTTCAGTAATGATCAAAGTCCAAATAGAGGCTGTTTGCATTAGGCTTGACAGGTGGCTAGTCCAAATTGTAATACTAATAATAAATAATAAATAATAATATATAATATATTATTAATAATATATAATAATATATTATTTAACACAATAATATATTATTTATTATATTATTAATAATATAATAATATATAATATAATTAATAATATAATAATATATAATAATATATGATAATATAATAAATAATATATTATTTATTGTATTATTAATAATATAGTAATATATTATTATATTAATATAATAATATATTATTAATAATATAATAAATAATAATAAAATAACATTTATTATTATTAATTTGTGAGAGAGAGAAACATTGACTTATTGTTCCACTTATGTATGCAATCACTGGTTGATTCTTGCATGTACCTGACATGGGATTAAACCCATGATCTTGGCCTATGGGGACAGCACTCTGATCAAATGAGCTACCCAGCCAGGGCCAAATTGTGATGTATTTTAAGGTTGAAACACAGTGGATTGCAAAGACTTGGTACAAAAAAGAGAATGCAAAATATCTCATTAATAATTTTAATATGAATTACATATTGAAATGATAATATTTGGATATATTGGGTTAAATAAAAATAGAATTAAAATTGATTTCACTTGCTTCATTTACTTTATAATGTAGCTACTAAAAAATTAAAAATTACAGATTTGTCTTGTATTATATCTCTAGCAGCTCCAATCAAGAAGGCATAATTGAAGAGTAAAGAGGTGAGGCACTGTGCAAAATGTCTTAACCCTGGCTCTGTCTGAATTCAACTTTTGGCACTGTTAGAGAAGGCGTTGCTTTGAAAGCTCAACCATCCTAAGTATTATTGGGGAATGAGGTAATCTGGAAAGCAAAGTTCAACCTAAAAATTAACATTGGGCCAAAGTGTTTAGTGCCTTGTAGGAGAAACAACAGAAATTACCAGTAATCAGAAGAGTTTTGCACTTGGAAAAAAGAGGAAGCCCTAAGAAATGTATAAGACTGATCTTTAGGGGACAACTCTCTAAAAAGAAAAGGAATAGAAAAATACTCAGAACAATTGTTTACGCAGCTTGCATGTTCTCATTCTCCCTTCCTGCCTACTCACCTGTACCTCTGATTACTCTTTTCTCTCTCTACAAATGACAACTTGGGTTGCTATTATCTAAGCAAGGAAAACAGTTACCATGAGTTGGATTAATTAATTAATTTTACTTTTTAAGTTAACGTATAGTAAAAGTGTTTATCTTTGTGTATAGTGTATGAATGTTAGCACAGGTAAGGGTTCTTGTAACCACCAACACAATGAGAATAAAGAATAGTTCCATTCCCCCAAAGCTCCCTCCTGAACCCCCCTGTACTCACACCCATTCCCCTCCCCTAGCCCCTGGCAACCACTGCTCTATTCTCAGTACTATAGTTTTGTCTTTTCTAGACTGTCGTATGAATAGAATCATGTTGTGTGTAATCTGGGCCCCATTAACTGTTTTTAAAAAGATTTGTTTTTTATTGTGGTAAAATACACCTAACAAAACAATTGCCATCTCAACTATTTTTAAGTGCACCATTTCAGTGATATTAAATACGTTTACATTATTGTGCAGCCATCACCGCCATTCATTCCTATTACTCTTCTTGTAAACTGAAACTCTATACTCATTAAACAGTAACTCCACATTCTCCTCTCCCCAGCCCCAGCAACCACTATTCTCCTTTGTGTCTCTGATTTTGACCACTCTAACGATCTCATAAAAGTGGAATCACACAGTATTTGGCTTTTTGTGACTGTCTTATTCACTTTTCCATGAAGTCCTCAAAGTTTATGCTTGTTACAGCATATTGCAGAATTTTTTTTCTTTTTAAGGCTGAATGATATTCCATTGTATATACTACATTTTGTTTATTCAGTCATCTGTTAATGGACATTTGGGTTGCTCCTATTTTTTAACTACTGTGAATAATGCCACTATGAACATGAAAGTTCAAATATCTTCCCAAGACCCCACTTCCAATTCTTTTGGGTATATACTGTAAGTGGAATTGCAGGATCATATGGTAATTCTATGTTTAATATTTGAGGTACGGCCATACTGTTTTCCACAGTGACTGTATCATTTTATATTCCCATCAGCAGTGCACAAGGGCTCACATTTCTCTACATCTTTGCCAACACTTGCTGTTTTCTGCACTTTTTTAATAGTAGCCATCCTAATGGGTATGAGGTAGTATCTCATTGTTAGTTTTTTTAAAATTAATCTTCATATTTTTCCCATTACCATTTAGTCCCCTCATGCCTCCCTCCCTCCAGCAATCACCATGCTGTTGTCCATGCCCATAAGTATTTTTTCATTGTAGTTTGATTTGCATTTTCCCAATGACTAGTGGTGTTGAACATCTTTTCATGTGCTTTTTGGCCAATCACTTCTCTTCTTTGGAGAAATGTCAATTGAAATCCTTTCCGTTTATATTATTTTTTGACATCCTACTCCCCAATGTGATGCTATTACAAGATGGGGTCTTTGGGAGGTAATTGGAGTTAGATGCCGTCATAAGGGTAGAGCCCCCATGGTAAGACTATAAGGAGATAAAGGGACCAGAACTCTTTCTCTCCATCATGTGAGGATACAGTGAGAAGACAGCCATCTACGGACTGAGAGGAGGGCCCTCACCAAGAACCAGGCCATGTTCACACCCTGATCTCAGTGTTCCAGCCTCCATGTCTATGAGAAATAAATGTCGATTGTTTAAGCCACCCAGTCTATGGTATTCTGTTATAGCACACTGAACTGACAGATGCAATGAGTCAGAGTTCATTGGGTCTGGTCCAAAGAAATAATAATTGGACAGCATCAGGGAGTAGCAGATGAGCAATGAGAGCCCTTTTCTGGTATCCTTTCCTCTGGGGCGCTGTTGTCTTCTTTCTAAGATGTCAATGATGAATCTGACAAATTAGCCCTTACTAAAGCGTGGGTTCTTAGAAGGAGCAATATTTTAAAAAAATGATTAATGACAGCTATAAGTTATTCTATTTTTATGTAAAAATAATTTTGTTGCTTTTGCTAATAAGCAATTAAAACTATACAGGAAAACACAGAGGAGAAAGTAAAAAATCACCTCAAATTTCATCATCCAGAGATAACTGAAGTTCACATAGTCATGACCATCCTCCTAGACTTATCTGTAGGCCTACATACTTATACATATATAAATTTACAAAACTAGGTCAACTCAACATGAGCTTTACAATTTACTTTTTAAAAAGTTACCCATATGCTATTGACACTTATGGATTCTTTTTTGTTGTTGTTTCCTTGTATTCCAATGTGTATGTGTGTGTGCATGCATATATGTAGCTTAATTTATTCAGTCAATCCTCTATTGCAGGACATTTGTTTCCAAAGTTTTATTATAATGAGCAAAGTTCCAACAAATTTTCATTATCGTGTATGTTTTTGAACTTAAGACATTCTCTTAAATTTCTTTTTATATTTTAAAAAGAAAACCCATTGCCCAATTGCTCTCCAACAACATTACTCACAGGATATAAAAATAGCAATTTCCCCACGCCCTTACTAACAATGTGGTATCTCATGTTTGTTCAGAGGACAGGAATTTCAGACACGGTTGCTGGCTGTGCCACGTGGCCTCGCAGCACGTCTCATAGCGCACATATACGGAGTTTGCTGAAGACCAGCCCACCACAAAGGAACTCCAGCCACCACTCTCTTT